GAAGGGGGAAGGTAAGAAAAAGGGGGGGTAATAAGAAGAAGAGTGGGGGGTAAGAAGAAGAGTGGGGAGTAATAAGAACAAGGGGGGGGAGTAAGAAGAACACAGGGAGGAGGAGGGGGGGATGAGAAGAGCACAGGGAGGGTGGGTGAGTATGAGAAGAGACCGCTAGGGGAGGGTGGGGGAGAGGAGAGACCACTAAGGGGCAGGGGAGAGCTCTAAGGGACAGAAGGGACAGCTCTATAGGACAGGGGGCAAGACATGGATTTCTTTCACACTACGCGCACACAATGCATCCCTATACATACACAGAAACACACAATGCATCCCTACACACACAGAAACACAACATGCTTCCCTTACACACAGAGAAATACACAATGCATCAATTTCACACACAATGCAACCCTTACACACAAAGACAATCCTTTGCACACATACACATAAACACACAATGCAAACCCTTACACACACATGCAAACACACACACACACTGCTCCTCTTACATACACACAGAAACAAAATGCATCTCTTACACTCAATGCACACACATACAGACACACACCTTGCATCCCTTATGCATACAAACACAGATTCACACAATGCATCCCTTACACACAACCAGAAACACACAATACATCCCTTATACACAAATACACACTGCTTCCACTAAACACAAACCACACTGCATCACCTACACAAACTGGTATCCCTATACAGTACATACCATAAGCACACATATTAGATCCTCTACAATAACACATAACACATCCCCTACACACCCCACTCCCTGTGAGCAAACTCATGGGTGGGTGGAATATATAAGTGGATTTATAAGTGGGCCTTATGGGCATACTCACCGTCAGGCCCTGGGGCCCAGACCTTGAGCTGTGTAAGGGGCCCCCAAAAAATGGAGCTGCTTCCAATTCTCCCAGCACATTGAAGTTTGTGACCACAGTTGCAAACAGCCTCCAGAGATCCTGTTCTACACCAGACCAGTGGAGCCAAACTGCAGCCCATCATCATCCTCATCTGATTGTAAGTAGGCAATCTAGTATATTATTAGTGACACTAATCTATAATTTACCTCACATTAAAGGGACACTATAACTTAATGAAGTGGTTCTGGTGTCTATAGCCGATCCCTGCAGGCTTTTAATGTAAACACACACTGCAGCACTGGCATTAGTTCATATGGCAGATCATATGGGTGGGGCATTGTGATGTCACATGGGGGGCGGGGGAGGCAAATTTTTATTTTGTCTAGGGCGGCAAAAATCCTTGCATCGGCTCTGATCTTGGGCAGGTGCACCAGTCTACTGGTGACCCACAGGAGGGGAGTGCACTGATTGCACTGCACTCTCCTCCTGTCCAGACCCATCTTTACCGCAGTGCAAGTGCCCTGGCCCCTAATTTACAGTGGCTCACACTCACAACAAGCATTGCCTGGAGCCTTTTGCAGAGACGGGAACAAAGAGGTTCTGCGGCAGCTGGCCGTCCTGCAAGCATTACATTAACCAGCTGTTCCCCATGCAGCCACAGGTGCCGCTGTGCTGGGAGATTGTGATTACTCTTCACTTCCTCCCAGCCTACAGCGCAGCGCATGGGAGAGAGAGAGGAGGAGGCATGATTTAATCTTACAACAAATCCACTAAGCAAATCTTTGGGGGGATCAGCTTTGTTTCCACAGTTTATTGGTGTTTACTCTGATGTCTGTATTAATATTTAGGGATGTCTAAGTAGTAACGTCAGTGTGTGTCAGCAGGGCCAGCCGTTGGGGTGTGCACGCTGTGCGATCACGCAGGGTGCCATGACAACAGAGGCGCCCGGCGGCCAACACAGCTCACAAGTTGGGGACACCAGCATATTCAATTTAAACGATTCGCTGGTGGCCCAATTTGCTGGTGGTCCCAGGTGATGGTGACTCCAGTCACATAGACAGCAAGCATTGTAGCTGAATTCTACCTGAGAGAAAAAGTAAAAGTAATCCACCATAAATGGAGATCATGTGCCATCATGCAGAAGAGGAGCCTAACACTGTCTGCTACTAATATTCCTGTAAAACGATCACATTTTAAGCCCTGGAAGGCCAGTAGAGTTATACAAACAAAGAAAGAATGCATTGCAAGTTTGTCTTTTTTTGGCTTGGAAAAAAAAGATTCCTAACAGAAGAGTAACTGGGCGTGATCTGTTGATAAATTTTCTAGGTTTTAGAGAACATTAAATTAATGCTTTGGTTCATCTCCCAGATTTTTTAAATATAAGTTTCATATTACTCCAGCAATAGAATGACTTTTGGAATAAGTTTCAAGATATCAGGGTTGGAAAGGTTTGCTGACAACAGCAACAACCATAAGTAGAAACCTAAAATGCAAAGAAACCACAATATATAACAACAAAAGAAGAAAATTTGTATATTAGTTACAGGAACACAAATTAATAACAGAAATGCAAAGCAAAAAAACAGGAAAACGCAATACAAGAAAATGGGTAGGCCTTTGGGACTCAGGCTTTCAGGATACTGGGAGCAAGGCCTCTGGGACTAAGATCTTCTGGATACAGAGAGCATGAAATCTGGTACTCAGGACTTCTGGATTCAGGGAGCAGGACCTCTTTGATTCAGGCCTTCTGGACACAGAGCGTAACGTCTTTGGGAATCAGGCCTTCTGGATACAGGGTGCAGGGCTTTTGGGACCCAGCCCGACTGTATAGTGGAAGCCAGGCCTCCGGGACTCAGATCTTCTGAATTGTGGAAACAGGGCCTCCAGGAACAGGATACAGGGACCAAAAACCTGAAACAAGTACAAAGAACTGGCAACAGAAAAATGGGAAAGACCTAGAATAAACAGCAGAGGCAGAACTACATGCAGTGCAGCTGGTGCACACCAAGGCCCAATACAGTTTTTGGGCCCTCTTTGGAGAAAGCAGAGAGTGTGTAGTGGATACAGTGTGTGGGTGATTTATTTTTTATAAATTTAATTTTATTCCCCCCTTCATGCCTCTTACCTTACACTCCCTGGTGGTCTGTTGGTGCATAATGCCAAGTGCTGTATATTAAATAACGGGCCCAGCCAACACCATCTTTAGTTTATGGCAATTCCTCTCTCCAACTTTTAAAATACTAAAACTATCAAAATATTAAAATATATCTATTAAAATAAAAAAATAATATACTGAAAGTTAAAAGTCTCAAGAGTTACCTGTCAGAGAACTCTGATTGTTTGGCTTCAGCATTGTAAATGCTTTCCTATGCGACCGGCTGAATGCGCGCGCAGCTCTTGCCGCGCGTGCGCATTCAGCCGACGGGGCGGATCGGAGGAGGAGAGAAGGAGGAGAGCTCTCCGCCCAGCGCTGGAAAAAGGTAAGTTTAAACCCCTTCCAGAGCCGGGCGTGAGGGGGTCCCTGAGGGTGGGGGCACCCTCAGGGCACTATAGTGCCAGGAAAACGAGTATGTTTTCCTGGCACTATAGTGGTCCTTTAAAATAGATTTTTTTTTTATCTGGATATTCTTTGGGGGGATTGGAACAAATTTTTTTATTGTAATCGTTGCTTGCAACACGACCTTATGAATTTTTATTTGTTCTTTTTTGGAGCTGAAGTAAAGAAAGTGGAAGAAAAAAGAAGTCACCTAATGATAAGTATTTAGTTTATTTAGTTTATAAGTATTTAGTCACAGGTATTTAGTTTATTGCCCCCGCTCACTATTATAAGGCTGAAAGGGTAGGTAGGGTATTTTGTATGGGGATGTGACTTGGGGCTTTGGAGACTACTAGTCACCAGGGTGGGTAAAATATGTCCAACCACCCCTTATAATTTAAAGCCCACCACCAATGGGTGGAGTTTGAGGGGGACAATAGGTCCACCTTTTCTTGTACTTTAGGGCCAATGGGTGGCGAGTTTATGGGGATACTATGTCCCCGTTTATTTTAATAGTCTCCACTATTATAATTAATCCCACTTGGTTTTGTACTGATATTCTTTAGAATTAAAAGGGCAGTGTGTGGCACAATATTTCTTTTAAATCGCTGTGAGTTTATCGCAATTTTGCACCCAGAAAATCAAATTTTCAATAAATAATGCTCACATTTGGGAGTGTTTTTTAAATACGTTTGTCGGAGCAGAACCAACATCTAGCACAAAAAAAAAAAGTTCAGTATAATCTCACAAATGTAAAGTGTCCTGAACTAACTAGCAACATGTCATAAGTGACAAACCCTTGCATCAAGACTTTTATTAACAGGTCTCAATGCTCCATGGAGAGGGTGTTCTCAGGTAGTGTAATTCATGGAACCTCAACAGATACAATGTACCATTCTAACCAGAGATAAATGGTGTACATCTCATGTTCACCAGTCATGATTAAACAGCTGCTCCAGTGGCGCAATCGGTTAGCGCGCGGTACTTATATGACAGTATCTGATGAGCAATGCCGAGGTTGTGAGTTCGAGCCTCACCTGGAGCACATTTTTTTTCTGTCTGATATGAACCACTAAAAAAACAAAACAAAAATTATAGCACGTTAATTACCACCTATTCTGTTCCTGGGTGGTCAAAATAGTTCGCTATATATTATATCTCTGAAAAGCAAATAAAAAAAAATATATATATATTTTACTTTTTACAGAGAGAGAGGGCAAAATCTTGTTTCTGCCCGGTTTCGAACCGGGGACCTTTCGCGTGTTAGGCGAACGTGATAACCACTACACTACAGAAACTGCCATACAGGTATTGGTATTAGTGGTCGAATATATGGCTACAGGCATAGTGTTATTATACTAAACAGCTTTTATTTCATAAGTGCTTAAAATCTGGCTCCACAAAGATGGCGACTATGATCAGGACGTTGCACTTAGCCCTGGTTTTTTTTTTTTCCAATGTGTGACGAGTACTAAAAGCACTGTTCCCGATTCAAAGTGCGTGGTTTCCATGGAGACTACAGAGTGCCAACACCCGAGCGGCACTCACACCAACACTCCTGCGAGTCTCCGCCGGCGGCAGCCATCAAGCTGGAGCCCAAAAATAACACCTGGTCGCTCAGAAGGGCTCCGGAAAAATGGCTTCCGCCGTCGGATTTGACAGGAGGCGGTTGCGTGCGCCGCTGTGAGGGTGTTTAGCGCTCGGTGATGGCGGAGATGTCGGCCCCTGTGCGTTACGAGGACAGCTGTGGACCCGCAGAGCTGGGGCTCGGTATCTCCGTGTCAGCCTCCATGTCGTGGCTGCCGGACAATGTGCTGCTCGAGGTGCTGGGCTTCCTGTCAGTGCGGGACCTGATCCGCAGCGGCCGGTCAGTGGTGATGGTGTTTAATAATGGGGGTGGGGGTAGGTTTGTGGTTTTAACTCTTTGGACGCCAGGGAATCTGCCTAATGGCAGGTAAAGGGTTAATAGACCTGACCCTGGGGGGGAGGAACATGACGTTTGAGGAAATTTGGGTGGACGTAGGAGGAGGCACCTGGAGTATGGCAATCTAGAGATATCCAGAGACTGCATTTAAAGCAGCACTGTCATCCCTATGAAAAATGGGTATTTCCTAAAGGCAAAATTCTGTGAAATACTCATTGTGACTGTGTTAGAAATTCACCGAAATTCCAGCCCAGCCCAGAGATATACAGAGACAAAAGTATTGACTACGCTGTATTTCTTCTCCGCCTGACGTCCCTTGTCACAATGCGGAGCCCAAGTGCAAATCGCCGCAGCGGTCGTCAGTGATGACTGCAGGGAATTATTATTATTATTATTATTATTGGTATTTATATAGCACCAGCATATTCCATAGCGCTTTACAATATTATACTGCGGCTATAGACCTCAGTACTGTATTTTAGCGCACGTACAAGATGCGAGCGCCGAGAAGGACCACGGCGAACCACCACGACAGCGGCGCCCGCGAGGGACATGTTGAATGAAGTAAACTCTCCTTTACCTGCCCTCCCCTCAGCCACTGGACACACAGCGGCAATGTCACCATTGGGAAACTTTGTGAATTTGGCCAAGTCCCCAAACGTTGACAGTGCTGCTTTAATAACTGTCCTGTGATCAGCTGCAAAGCCAAGAAATAATCACTGACCTATACCCTCAGTAACACCTTGGAGGCCAGGCGCACTATTTATAACTTCTCTCCTTAATGCAAATGGTCTGTATCAATTATATATAGTAGAAAGAAAATCAGTCATCAAACCGAGGCTTTTTATGCAAGAGTCCTCCTTGATTAATAAACATGTTTCTGTAGTAGATAAATTCTTCATAAAGTAGGGTATAGTACGTAAGCGTACAGTAACCCTATGTGTCTGGAATAACACAGAGGCAACACTGCAGTATCGCTTGGGACTAAGTAGGTTGGCATTTCACAAAGGCAACATTGGGAAAATAACTGCTCATCAAAGGACACTTGAATTCAGTATTGTAAAGTGCTGCAGAATAAGTTGATGCTTTATAAATGCCAAATAGTAATAATAAAATGATCATACAGTGGAGGATATGACAGGCAAGTTTCTTCCCAGCAGTGTGCAAAATCTATACATCTGTATTATTGTAGGGGGCTCATGGGATAATTAGCATTGCAGTGCTTCTCGTGTGCTGTTCCCTTAGTGTGGATATTATATGGATGCTACAGTGTGCTGTAGTGGTTATGCTGCTCCGTCATTGAGTCCCCTAATTGTAAGTAGTCAGACTGTTTTTAGAACGGTTTGACTATTTACCTCAGGACTGCGGGCGCCACTCCACAACGCCTGTATATCTGATGGAGATCCAGAAAATGAGTGAGAATTTGTATTCCTGGTAATCATGGTGTTTAAAAGATCACCTCACACCCCAGAAAATGCTGAATAACTGCACATGCTCTCAACGTTGTGAATCACAGATTAGTGGAAAACTGGAAAGCTGACTGTTATCACATTATGGATAACACCAGCGGTTCCCTAGAACTGCTAGTTGTACTTTTTTTTTTTTTTTCTGCTTCATTTTTTTTAAGTAATATTCCTGTAAGTGCTGTGATCTTTACATGGATGAGAAGACAAAGGGAGAGACCAGTAGCAGCTGTTTTTTTAACCCCCTTCATACTTTTTTGGGGGTAATCACGTCTCTAAATTCAGCTATCTCCGTTTGAAAATCATAAATGAATTTACTAATATTTGTGAACTTAGCTGTTGGGTGCTTCATTTCCCATGCATCCATTAGAAAAACAGAGCAGCAAAATGAAATTGAAGACTAGAAGTGGTAAACGATGTAAGTGCCAAAAAAATTCAAACTTCGTTTTCCACATTTAAGTGTCAAATGAGCAATGCTTCTTAATCTGGTAAACGTAAATAAGTGCCTGTTAGTCCTCTAAGTAGTTTAAAAGAGTGTAAAATCGTAAACGTTGTAAGTGCCAGATACGTGCAAAAAAATGTAATGCGATTTCCCAACGTTTTCGCTTTTAGCACTTACTACGTTTACCACTTTTAGTCCTCAATTCAGCTTCAGCCACAATGGTAGGCAATCAGACATATTATTTGTTGACTTTAATTTCCTTCTTCATCTGTTTTCATTTGGCTGCCTGAGAATTACAGGACGAACTCCATAACCGCTACAGCATACATCTTGTAGACTTTATTTACTATGATACCCAGCCATCCATCATACTAACTGGCTTTCATCATAGAAAACATAGCCCACAAGAGTTACTGTAACACTTTGCAACTGAAATGAAAAATAATCACCCCTGCACATACTCATTGCATGTGCTTTTAGTAGGCAAATGCAAGTGTGCATTTTCAATATTTGGTTCTGGATTTCAGCCATCTGGTAGTATCTGGACAAGCTGAAATCTGGTGAACACTTGAGTCCATTCTGAAGTTGCATAACAAAAATGGAGCCCTGTAATTACCCAGAAGGGTGGGGACAGCAAGGGCTGAGAACATAGACATAGAACACATAGATGCTGCACGTCTATGGCATTGTGTGTTGAGCGGCGAGGAATGTGGCCGCCATCTTGGATCGGTCGTCGCTCTACTGAAGCTATTGAAGAACCCTTAGAAAGTCCATCTCACAAAAGGTAAGTGAAGGACTTGGGGCACTTAATACCCCTACCCCTTAATACCCCTACCCCAGGTCATTAATACCCCTACAGTGTTAATACCCCTACCCCAGCACACTGTGTATTAACACTGTGTGTGCTGGGGTAGGGGTATTAAGGACTATGTGTGCTGGGGTAGGGGTATTAAGTGCCCCAAGTCCTTCACTTACCTTTTGTGAGATGGACTTTCTAAGTGTTCTTCAATAGTTTCAGTAGAGCGGCAACCGGTTCAAGATGGCGGCTGCATTCCTAGCCGCTCAGCACGTAATGCAGCGTCTATGTGTTCTTTGTCTATGGCTGATAACCACATGGGGAGTTTAAAGGAGTGCCAGGGTAGCCACTTTGAACTGGTCTGGAAGTGTCACTGAAATAATTGGACAACTCCCTGCTAGGAAAACAATAAGACAGGAAAAGGGGAGGGGAAAAGGCACATACAACCTGGACAATCAACAGATTCAATCCAATATACAGGACAAAATCATATGGGGAAACATATAGGCACTCCTAACAAAACAATATCAAAAAGACAAAAGGTCTCTGGGAAAGGGGATTCTGTTGTAAAACAACAAACGCCCTTCACCCACAGGGACAACAGCCCCTTTTAGGGCCTCTCGAACCAGGCCCATAGTCTGTGGGCAGGAGGCTAGCCTTTACACCTCTCCAAAAGGCTGTGGCATGGGATCTTCCGTCACACTCTTCTATGTCAAAAATAAACATCCACTGATCTTAACAATATTGCCTAAAATATAATTCAAGTTTTAGTAAACAATCATTAACTCTTAATGAGAATTATATTTTATCTGTTGTATAGGGTCTGCAAGCGGTGGAAAAGACTAGTGATGGACAAGACCCTTTGGAGATATGTTGATCTAACACCTTACAAGGTATTTTTGTGTTTGTTTTTTGTTCTTTTGTTCTAACCCCTTAAGGACCAAACTTCTGGAATAAAAGGGAATCATGCCATGTCACTTTTCCATCAATTGCAACATAAGACATTGAAAATATTCTATAACTTGTTTTTCATGAAATGCTCTGTTTTCGTTAAAATTTATATTAAAACAAATTTGCAAATTACATCACAATCCAGATCAGACAAGATAAAACCAGGGCAAACACTGCAAATGAGAAGGAGAAATTCAAACATTTTTCTATTTCTCCTCTTTTGTATATGCTGACAGCCAAGTACAAGGACAGAGTTTATCGCATTAATTGACACGGAGCTAAGAGTACACTTGTCGCACTCACTGTGTTGAATGGCTAACCAATTAAGGTTTTGGCCACAGTAACCGCTAGGAGGCTCACTGCTTTCTCGGTGAGACTTGGTCACCGCATGGGGTTGTAGTGCGGACGTTCTTGGCGCATGTGTGGAGGAAAAATAGGAATCTCACTTTGAGAGTTTCATAAAGCGAGAGGATATCCTATCAGAGATGAAAGAAAGGCATGCAATGAAGCGTTCTAAGAGAGCGGTGGAGAGATCAGGAGAGGAGAGATATATCTGGGTGTCATCGACATACAGATGGTAGGGGAATCCAAAGGAATTAATAAGTTTGTCAAGAGGGGCAGAGTAAAGAGAAAACAAAAGAAGGCAAAGAACAGAACCTCGGGGGACTCCATCTGACACAGGAACGAGGGTATGTGATGTCATTAAAAAAAGAGACACGGAATGTTCGGAGAGATTGGGCGAGCACCATGCCAGTTCACAGAGACCAAGTGATTGAAGGGTTTGAAAAAGGACATGATCATCCATAAATGCTACCTTTTAATAAGGGTCTGGCTGCTAGCTCTGTGTCCTTAGTGCCAACTTATGAATGTTGTTTGGGCAGAGACTCTGCATAAGGCTTTTATACAAAGCATAAAAAGAATTGTTCAGTTGACTCCTAAACGCTCCTTTTAAGCAGCACAGTCACCGCCTGGGGACTTTGCAGAATTCGCAAATACACCCTATGGTGACATTGCCACTGGGGGGGGTCTGGTGGTGGATGAGGCAGGTAAAGGTGAGTTCTACTTACCTGAACCTGCCCACCCCACGCTCCAACACAAGCGCCCATCTTCCTCTGGCTTTGAAGCACCAGGAGCAGACATCATTGCTGTACGCTCATTCATGTACCTTCGTAACTAAAATGCTCCATTCCTTTTATCAATTCTTTAGAACAGGTGCCCAAAATTGCACAGCATATATCAAGCATTATATCAAACCTATTCAAGGTTTGGTCTTACCAGCGATTTATGAAGAGGCAAATTTATATTTTCATCCTGAGAATTTATGCCCCTATTTATACATGACAAAACCTTACTGGCCTTGGCAACTGCAGATTGACATTGCATATTGCTGCCTAATTTGTCTATAACAATTCCCAAATCCTTCTCGTGTGTGGTTATCCCTAATTTTCTACCATTTAGGGTGTAAGTTGCTTGTGCATTCTTGACCCTGAAGTGCATAACTTGTGCATTTCTCTACGTTAAATTTCATCTGCCGTTTTAGTGCCCAGTCCCCCAATCGATCCAAATCCCTCTGCAGCAAAGCAATATCCTGCTCATGTTTTATTACTTTACAAAGATTTGTCTCATCTGCAAACACTGAAACATGGCTTTCAATGCCTATTTCAAGATCATTCATACATATGTTAAATAGAAGCAGTCCCAAAACTGAATCCTGAGGAACACCACTTACCACTTTTGTCCAGCCTGAAAATGTACCATTAATGACAACTCGTTGTACTCTATCCTTAAGCCAATGTTCTACCCAAGAACAAGAATAATCATCTAGACCAATTTCTTTTAGTTTGAAGACTAACCTATTGTGAGGAACCGCATCAAATATGTAATTTATATCAAACCTAATACAATTGTGACAGTTTTCCTTTTAGGCTTCACAGTGATGTCAGTTACAAGCTCCCTGCTTTTGGCAGGTATTTACAGGTAGTCCTCATTTTACAACTTACGTTTTTAATGACCGCTCAGCCTTACGACCAGCTCTCTAGGGTGGGGATTTGAAGGGTTCCCCACGTTAGAGAGCTGGTCTATGTTCAGGGAATTTTCCATGAACATAGATTAGGGGGATTCCCTGCTCTGGTGCGTTTGTCTACGTTTGGGTAAATATCCCCAAACATATAAAAAACAAAAAACAAAAAAAAAAACACACACACAGTAGAGCAGGGAATCCATCTTATCTATGTTCGGGGAAATTTCCCTGAACATAGACCTGCACTGGTGCGCTCCTCACTTACTGACCAATTTGTTTTACGACCGAGTAGTAAGAACGTAAGTGAGGAGTGCCTGTACATCCATACCTCCCAACAATGGAAGTATGGATCCTGGGTTAGGATTCGCTGGGCTTAAGAGGTATAGACCAGGGGTAGGCAACCTTTGGCACTCCAAATGTTGACTTCATCTCCCCTTAGATTAGATAATTTCATTTTCTATGGCACTCCTAGGAATATGTCTTGAACGGTTTATTGGGACACTCCAGACTTAAAATTATACCCTTCTTTTTCATATATAGATAGTCCGTTTAAATGTCAAAAACTAATTTTTTTTATTTTTTTTTTACAATCTTTATTTGCATTTTCAGAATAAATCTTTGCAGTTCGGTGTACAATTTACGACATTCAAGTAACAATTTGTCATATTGCAAGACATGGTATCAGTCATATTCAATAGTATATCGTATGGCATCGACCAGGGGTCCTCAAACTCCGGCCCCCCCAGATGTTGTTGAACTACAACTCCCATGATTCTCTGGCTATCTATGTAATTCAAAGAATCATGGGAGTTGTAGTTCAGCAACATCTGGGGGCCGGAGTTTGAGGACTCCTGGCATAGACAGACGACAGTATTTGCCGTAGTTTGACATAATCATCTATTGGGAGGCCCTAATACATCTCCAAACTCCAATCCTGTTTCCATAACAATTATTTTATCTCCATTATAGGAATGGAATTCTAACTGCTTACAGTGGTGTTCTATAGGGCAGTACTGGGTCGTTAGATTAGCAATTTACGCCATCAGTGTACATTGTTTTCCTTTCAGTACATGACATCATCATAATGGGAGTATGTTTGGATTGGAATAAGTATTTGGGCCTCGGGAAGCATAGGTACTTTGCATTAACCGTGTCCTTATTGTTCGAGACAATGCAGATCTTCTGTTTGTCTAGAGGAAATAAAAAAAAACAAAAAAAAAAACCTAATTTTTATTGTTGCTATCCTGTAGCTCTAGCAATATTTTGATCCAATTTTCTCAAAACCTTTGAGGGGCTAAGAATCTTTCAGCCAATCTGAGATCATTGGTGCAGTCCTATGGTGACCATACAACCTGCACAACTTATTTGCAAATTAATTATCAAGGTAAGATAACTTACCTTACTTAATATGGATGCTGTAGGGTTGCAGAAACATATTCAATTATTCAGCAAAAGTTAGAAGATTTTAGCTGAAAATAAATGTTTAAGTTTCCAAAATCAAAATGGACTACCAAAGGCAGTATTATTTCCCAGGTACATGTACAGTACTCCTGATTATACCTCTGCATTGATACCTAGTGAGCTAGATGTCGGCATTATGATGGTTTTGTTTGATGCTATAGGTTTGGCAGGAGATTCCAAAAGATAAATAGCTTTAGCCTTACAAATCCATGATTATTTGCCATTGTAAAGACCAGCATGCCATCATGGGATTTGTTGTACAAGACCTGAGGATCTACCTTTTGGGAAACACAGAGTTACAGAAGAAAGATCTAAAGCAAATCAATATTTGGTGTGACAAGCCTGTGTCACGAGTGTCGGTTCGGAAACCGGGGACCCCTTAGTGCCTGATGAGAAGTTGGGAGTCTTCAGGGTGGAAGTGGATTATCAGGGCCTGGTGCAGGGTAACCACACGCCCTCTGGTGTTGAGCACCAGCGTTTGTGCAGCCACATACCACGTCCCTGATACAGCTACTGCGGATCCCAAGAGCTAGGAGATATGCAGACCTCCCAGGATCTAGATAGGGAGGCTCTGCAGCAGGAACCAGGAGCTTGGATATAAGCAGACCTCCCAGCAGCTGAATAGGGAGGCTCTGCAGCAGGAATGCATCCAGTTCAGAAAAAAAGGTAAGACTAGAAGAGGTACCAAACATGACGACAAGACAAAACCAGTAGGAACCAGAGAAGGACAGGAAGCCAAACCCAGAACAAGTACACAATACATAAGGGAAACCTTAACATAACATGGGCAAGACAGGACTGTACATGGACTAGGAATACAAAATAAAACAAGACGAGATATAATAGGCAAAACAAGAGGAGATAAAACTAAGTACTATAATTTAAAACTATGGGGATTACGTTACATTATATGATCATACATTGCATAAGTCTGCCAACTACGTCAAAGTACCCCATATTCAGCAGGACCTACACTAACTGCCTAATGTCTGCTAAATGAACAATAATAAAGCACATACCTGCAAAAAAGGGCAGAGGACTTGAAACCACTGCTGCAGATCCAGACTGAAACAAGGATTAATGGGAAAGGAACGGGTGTGGCAACACAAAACCAACATTTAAAGTAATCCAAGAGACTGGGAATTCAAGGGACAGAATACAGGAATGAACCCAGAAAAACTCAGCTTAAAGAAAACCAGACACAGAACAGAAAACCAGAAAACCCCAAGAAAAACTAAACAAGAATTTTAAAAAGAGTACTGGCTACCAGAAGCCAAGGCCAGACATCTCCGCAGAACATGGCATGATGTGACAGCCTGGTTTGCTCTCAAAAACAGCATCAGTTCTCACTAAACTTCCACAGTTTTGTAAGGAACGTGGCACGTAGGTTTTTCCAAACATCTTAGTTAACCAACGACCGTTTGTCTGTGGTTTTGTTTTCGGTTTACTCACCTTGCATTATGTTAATTGATAAAAAAAAAATATACTGCTAACATTTCTGTTTTTCCTTTTAAGTCACTATTATAAGCTCTGTACTTTGCACCTGGCAGTCAGCATAGAGAAAGCATATTGAAATAGAAAGTAAAAAAAAAAAAAAGAATTCTTCTCTTCATTTGCAATGCTTCCCTTTGTCTGAACTAGGTCATGGTGGTGTTATGATGTTATTTTCAATGTTTTCATTAATGGTGTAGATTCAATAAAAATCTAAGTGTTACGAATATGGGGTGACAAAACACGCAGAATATTAACCCTCCGATAGGTAGGACAGTTACCTAAACCGGACCTTAGAATGGCTGGACTGAAGGTAAAATAAAAGAGTATAGTCAAAACAGGCCAAAGTCTAAGGGAACCAGAAAACTGCAAATACGAAAAATCAGAACCAAGTCAAGGGAACCAGAAATCAGAATAGTCAGGGAAGAAGCCGAGTCAAAACCACATAAACACTAAACACAAACACAAACGCACTCTTGGGACACTGGCAAGCTAGGAACCACAACAGGGCACTGAAACATTGGCTAAGGGAGCTTTTATATGTTTGGCGACATGATTAATGTAGTCATGCCCCCAAAACGTAAGAGGGCGTTTGTAAATCCCACCCATAGTACTACCCTTAGTCGGACATCGGCATGCGTGCTCCGCGTCTGGGACACTATCAGATCGGCTAGGAAGGCTGAAGGAGGCGGTCCGCACGATCGAAGGAACAGCCAATCGGCAGACCGCCAAGGTAAGTATAGAATACCTTACACTAAGTTTCCCTTTGTAATAGTAGTAGTCACACGTTTGTTGGTGACGAGCGCTTTCTAAAGCTTTATTTAGTTTCCTTGGATCAAATCTTAAAATATTCATGAAACTGTCACAGGATGCAGATGGTTTGAACGTTTGTTTTCTCCTAACATGTTGCACATTTTTATTTGTTTTGTTTTGTCTGTTTTTTTTTTTTTTTTTGACAGATGAATCAACAGGTGCACCAATTTTCATATCCTCTTTATGATCACTGTCACCTGAAACTGATTCAGTACTGTTCAGTATACAGACTTTTAATTACCATCTAACTATTTTTGTATGTACAAATGCGTTAACCAGTTATCTACTACTTAACTCCACTTTTGGATTTCGCTTTTGGCACTGTAACATTATATCCTGCGCAGTTATGTTCACAAACTGCAGCCTACCAAGGAATTTATAAGATGAGGTGCTTTAATCACAAAAGCCTTTCAGCCACTGTGCTGTGTGTTCATTTCATCCTAATGTAACATGTTCTCTTTAAATGCACCTATTAATATTATTATTTTTATAATATTATAGCAAAGGTCAGATATGGATATATTGTGATACCCTATATGAATACATAACATTACACCTGAATAAAAGATTTAAAAAAATGTTATAAAATAATACACAGCAAGTAAAAAAAATCATTTAAAATAGATTCCATTATTAATCCTTAAAATCCCCAATATGTCTACATTTTGATTAATTTTTGTAAGTTATAGGACAAATATTTCGAGGAGTAAATTATGGTTTTAATGCAATACTGTTTCCTTTAGTGGTCTTTGCATATTTTGAAAGTAACATACCGCTTGGGGTGCAGAGGCCTAGGGTTGCAAAGGAAGATGAATATACCCCGCAGGTGCTGCCATATTCTATTTTTTTTTTCCCAGCTCCTGCCACTTCATCCACCTGGATCCTCATCAGTGCTGTACTTGCACATTTGAGAGAGTACAACACTGATGTCTATAGAGAGACTCCCAATATACACCAGAGAGAGTGCTGCAGTTATCCCCACAATTTCATCCTTCCCACTGAATGAAACAGTGGGTAGAGGTAGACAATTCAAATGAGAAGTATGTGTATACCTATGTATGTATAGGTGAATAGCAGATCGTATGTTTGTGAAAGAGTGGCTAACAAGGTGTGTGAGACTATAGCTAATTATATTTTGCCTTTTTTTTTTTTTTTTTAAATCTAACTTTTAACTTTCAATCAAGCCATGCAGTAAACTTTTCTCAAAAAACGCCTATTAGGTACTAGATTTCTGGAATTGTACATGCCATAAATGACCTTTTTGTGGAAACAAGAGACAGAAAACTAAAAATTCTTTAATGCGTATTTGGAAGAATTTCCTGTAGTTCTAAAAAAAAAAAAACTTACCTAGACATTATGGGAAACATCAGCAGTAATGCTAGCATAGCTCTGTGTTGTAACAGGATACAATAGAAAAACATCTGTTGTGTTTTAGTTATTTCATTTACAATTACGGAAACCCAGTTTACAACTAAACTAAGTAATAACTTAGTAATAACTTACTATCAACGATAGTGGATTCAGCGCTTCGTGTGTCAATGGAATATTACAAGATATGTGTAAACGTAGGCAGCAACCTAAAGTAAAGACGTTCCCTCACAGTATGTCAAAGGAGAAAATCTAAGAGATAAGGGATTTTAGGTCGCGCCACAAAAATAGAACCAGTAAAAATAAAAATAAAACAAGTATGATAAATATAAGGCAGAACAAAATCTCTTGATAAAAGAACAAAATAGAAGCAATACGGTAAGTACTTACATATATTACAGAACAATAAATATAAATAAGTCCTAAGATAAACAGGAAATATTCAGGTCCACTTGAAAAGTTGTAAAAAGGGAATAGTCCAAACAGAGAAGTAATCAGTAGTTTCTTGTTCCGGATGGCAATATGCAACTAGAACAGAGGAAAATTCCAATAGTGTAGACTGTAATTGGAGTTTCTTTATGAAGATACAGAACGAAAAAATAATCGCACTCACCTACTGTGGAGCTTGAACTAGCTCAGGTGTACTTTGCAATCAGCGGTATTGGTCCCCCACTGATGGGATGTAGGCGTATGTACGTAGAGAGAGTCCTCGCGAGAAAAGAGGGTAGTACAAAATAGTGCTCACTGTATACTTGTATATAGCGTGAGATATATATACTCACATTTAAGTGAGCAGGATATACTGCTCACTTATAGAGCATAGGTGGTATCATACCCACCTAGGATTCTTGAGCACAGGGATGCTTATATTAGAATAAATAACCAGGTCCAAGGGTAAAATAAAATAAATGAGTAAAATATGTAGAAACTGGAATAAAAAGGTATATGGCAAAGAGGAGAAGATATATACTAGCCAATAATCCTTTATTGATATAAAATAAAATAGTAAAATAGCCAAAGCGCTGTGTGGCGAAACGCGTTCCTATAAAAATAAATGTTACAAAGTACAAACATTTGTTACACTTTTTTTTTTATTTTTTTTTATTGCTTTGGAAGGGCTTGATAATTGATAATTAAATAACTGTCACCTCCAATAAATATTATAATTCATTTTATTATTAAAAGATAATTGATTTTCTTTTTTTATAATGGTGATGAGGGACAATCCTCAATTTATGCATTGCAGCACTTAGAGGAAGTGATCTTGGCACACAGAATCCACACTGGAGTAGAGCAGCCTGCAGCAGCTATCGCAGCTCCTGCCCTTGACCTGTACCTAGCCAGTCCAGCCCCAACTAGACCCCAAGGAAGCCACCCACACCGCTAGATATACACAAAGCTGCAGAAGAAGCCTCCCCTTATACGAATAATAAAAATAGCCCACACGCATAGTCTCGACAAACACAACACCACTGACAATCCACATACATGCACACAGCCCCACAAGCAGCCTACACATACACACACCACCAAACACTCAGTGTGACATCATCCACAAATACAATTACACAAGCAGACCCCATACACTGGCCACTTTCGTAGGTATCATATACAATGCCACAAACTACTAATGAACATGCTTAATATATAAAATATAAGTGTCCACATAAAAACAATGTTACACATCAACTGAGGCATCTATAAATAACACAAGCAGAATACGGCAACATACAGACCTTAATTTAAAGAAATGGGACTGGCATGCCATGGGACTTCAAGAAGTTTGGCACAGTACTAATAAAAGGTTGCCTACCACTGCTCTATATAGTCTGTATAGTCTTCCCTGGTTCACTCCCTGCACAGTGCAGTGACATTGTCAGTCCAACTAACCGTCTAATTCAAACACTGTCTGACCTAAGGTGCATTCAAACCTTGTTATATATTAATATTTACGTATAAAAAAAATCTATTTGCCTACAAAAGTTGATGAAAGGGCTATTAAATTTGAATGAGGTTCGAGCCGGGCCCTCTTTCCACACAGGCACGCTGGACACTTGCCTGGGGGGCACACAAGGATGGGGGCCCCAGCACTATGCTCATGTGCTCAGGCAGACAGGGGAGATCCTTCGATCTTCCCTGCCAGCCCACGGAGAGCCGGCCCTCCTCACTTCCCTCACCAGCCCAAAGGCCGTTTGTTGGTGAGAGGGACTGTGGGAGATATGACCCAGAGCTGCCGGAGAGAGAGGAACTGGGAGGCAGTTCCTCCGCGAACGTGCATGTACTCAACAGTCTGTGTATTCAGCAGCCTGTGTTTGTATACTGCAGACTGTCTGTATTCTGCATTCTGTATGTGTGTATCAGCAGTCCGCGTGTGTGTATTCAGCAGTCCGCGTGCTTGTAGTGTATAAATGTATTGCATTTGTTGGAGGTACCAATAAATATAAGCTTAATTTTACTGTTGATTTAAATTTTTTCCTGTGAGTGGTTGTGTTGGCAGGGCCCCAATACACTGCTTTGCCCGGGGGCCCATGATGTTTTTAAGATGGCGCTGGGTTCGAGGTGAGAGTTGTCCTTTAATGCTACCCCTGTTTGAAATGCAATTTGAAGACAAAACATTAGGGTCTAGTTTGATTTTACTTAGCTCTACAGTCACTATTGCAGACTGGTCAGTTTGGTTAAAATAAAAATAAAAAAATGTTTTTTTTGTTTTTTTTCTTTATACTGCTATTAGTTTTACATACTCAGATTTTAAGTTGTAACATGCTAAGTGGTGGCATCATATGCCTAATTTGGACTAAATTAATATTATTCATCTGGAACTCCTTTAAGAGTGGTTAAACTTCATAGAGAAACGCTGCATATAGAGACTTCAGGAAACATTAGCAATTCAAATCGGTGAAGTGGTCATGGTGCTTTGAATAACCCTTTAACCTTTTGTATTCTAAACAGCAGAATTAGAATATTTTGCTTCTTCACAATTGCGTTGCTTGGCAGCACATTGGTGTGAATAATGTTATACTTGATCAAATCTGGATCAGTCTGCCTTATGCTTTATTGTATTTCTGCTTACTGTGCATCTGTGTACCTTTGCATAGCAGTAATGTTTATTTTTCTTTATTTTACAGTTGAATTCAAAGATATTATGGCACCTTGTAAGGCATTGTATTGGGACCAACTTGCAAACTCTTAAGGTCAAAGGCCTCTTGAATTCAGTGAGTAAGCAGGAATTCCTAACGCCAGCTGTCCTTCAGGTGATAGAGAAACGTTATTCCAGCCTGGAAAAACTTCATCTGGAGGAAACCAACCTCCGATCCCTAAGCTATGAATGTTTTCCTTCCAGCTTAAAAACATTGGAGCTCTTCCAGTGTGAAATCCCATTGACCTGGTTCAGGACATCACAATCAAAGAATAAAAGTCTACCAAACTTGGAGAATCTCAATCTCAGAAATGTTTCGTCTTTCTCTGACCACCTCTTTCAGACCATATGCAAATTATCTTCTCTGAAGACACTCTGTCTTTCTGGTACCTACAGAGTAACTGACATTGGAATTCAGAATGCGGTACCTTACCTGAAAGGACTACAACATTTAAAATTACATGATTGCAACATTACGAACATCACCTTGCACTTAATTGGATGCCATTTGAAGCATCTTCGATCCTTGGCCCTTAGAAACTTTGGTTCCTTGACAGATGCTGGACTTTCCTGTCTTTCTGATGTTAAAACACTAGAAAAATTATGGCTTAATTGCTGTTTTCGTCTCTCCTCAAACTGTATTATCTCTGTTTGTGGTAACTTGCCATTCCTTAGCTATCTCAACTTGAATGGGATTTTATTTGAGGGCCAAGGTTTAGAAGAGATTAGGAAAAGTTTGCCAAATTGTAGAATTACAAACTCTGTCTCTGATGTGGATACAATGTTCAAATTGTAATAAAATAGGGGAAACAGAACACTTATTGGTACTAAACAATATAGCTTCTGTTCGCCAGAGTGCACTATTCTGTTTTTGTAAAATAATGTTTGGTAAATTAGTCTTACATGAAAAAGCATTATGTAGATGTTTCCATGCCTTGATATTGCCTAAAATTGCTTAGGTTTTATTTATTTTTAGTAGAAATCATGTTGTGTGTTGCTGTTGTTTTTTTGTTTTTAGTATGAATCGCCGAGGAACTTTGTAATCTTTTAGCAATGTGATCTTTAAATATAAAACAATTAATATATGGGTATTTTTTTACATCTGTATTTGTTCGAGTGTTCTTTACCATAGGATCACTGGATCTATATATGAGATTGTATTAGCCCATTAGACAAAATGCCAAAATACCACAGTATTGCAGATACTTTATTGGACTATCATAATACTTAAAAGACTAGCTTTCCACAGTTGTGCTCCCTTCCTCAGATCTGAAGCAATACTGACCAGTGTGATAGTTTAACACTTATGAGGACTTTGCCTAATTTGCAAAGTTTGCCACTGGAGGTTCCAGGGACTGTAGAGGCATGTAAAGGGTGTCAGTTTGATGCAGACCAATCTTTGTCTCCAGTTAGGTGGTTTGAATGCTAGTATGGGGAATTGAGGAAATATTTGAATGTGGGGTTCGCTTAGATTAATGGCTGTAGATCTTTAATAATTTGACATACTTCTTCTAAAGTTGGGTTATAGTTAACTACCAGCGGTAATCTTATTTTGTCCTCTTTTCTTTGTATTGTAGGAGCCTTTCTTATGGTGTTTTTAGGGCAGATTTATTTCTCTCTTTTTTTTTTTTATAGATATCGTCGTTTCCTTATAGCCCTTTCCCCAAAATGACTGACTGTGTAATCAGATGTTTATCTCTACCTCCTATGTCAGAGCAAATTCCATAACTCATTCTTCTCCTTCTGTCCATATTATGAATTTTATTTCAATTTAACAGTAATATTTAAATGATGCGTAGGGGTTTTGTACATAAGAATCTGTTTACTAGGTCAGACATGAAAAGATTGGGCTATTGTGGTGACCTTTTTGTGCCCATCGCTGTCCTGGTCATTTGTAAGTAGCTACTCTAAGTGAAAGTGAAACTGAAAATACTTCAATACTCTGGTATATTGGCATATATAGATAGAGTATTGTACTGCTTTATTGAAGCAGTCTGTTGCAGATACAAAGTGAGATCGATTTTGCAATCCCAAATCTGACTTTTATCAAGTTCTTGATAAAAGTCATATTTGGCACTGAAACGTAGATTTTTGCTTTGTGACTTCAAATGCCCCATCCATAATTCACAATTTAAGAGTTAGTGTCACCTCCAGTAGTGATTCAATCATTTAGGCATCACAAAAGTATCATTTGTGTAGAGTAAATCTGGGCATACCGTCACTTAGGATAGTAATCTGATGGCAGGTATACTGCAGTTGCTTTCAGTTTCCACACAGCCTCTGTTCACTATTCATGAACTGACCTAAGTTTTCCTGTCTTTCTCCCGGGTTGAGAGTGAACTCAGACAAAATTCTGAGTGTTGTGCACTGATAACATACTGTCATTTTCAGTTGGCTAATTGGTAGGAGCTGGAGTTACATCATGCGGGAAAAAAAAATCAACAAAAATCCCTGATCTGGCAAGGGTTGCTATTTGAAGTGGGTATAGTGCTTAGACAAGCCCTTTAATGCTATTTAATATAAAATATAAATATTTTGAGTAATTGCTGATTAGATGGGTACTTGTCTAGAAAAATAGAGAAATAATGTTAGATTTATTTTAATTGGGTAAACCCGTTGCTGGCATATTCCATTCACTGTCAGAAATGGTTTGAAAAGGAGGGGGGAGGGGAAAGAGTGGAAAAAATATTTAATTGTAATTTTTAACTAGACTGTGGCTATATCTGCACCCATGTGCCCTTCGTGATGCCTAGCAAGAGGGAACTGGAAATCTTTCTTTGTTGTTCACCTTTAGACAATCAGAACTACTGTTCACTGAATATGTTGATAAAATGTAGTTATAGCCTAGTACCTTCAGTGATAGTAACGTGGTCATTTACAACAGGTAACTAGAAGTGTGACACGAGACACATGTAAAGGGTGCATTTTCTAATTCTGCATAGGGTAATTATTGTGGAAACATTGCTCATTTGTCTGTGCGAAAGTGGACTTCCCAAGTCCAACTTGAGATATGCAGGTGATGCACAACAGTATTTTTATTTATTTTAAAAAATAAGTTAGGAACATTCATTAGGATTAAAAATAGATTTTAAGATTGTTCAGTGTCTGACGACTTTGAGAACGATTTTCAAAATTATAAATTTGGCAACAAGTCAGCCGAACATGTTAACTGTTTTTACTCTTTTGATTGCATCTCAAAGATGTTGTTGCTGCCTTTTGAAATCAACCGGCACAAGTTTAGATAAGGATCGTTGTATAGTTCTGAAATATTACAGGACAATGAAACTTTTTTTAAAGCCTGATGATATTTATGCTACCATTGTATAAGCTTTTTAAAAATGTATTGCAAATGTTGATTTATTTCTTGCAATATTTTTTTGGCTGTCGAAGGGGAGTTGGCACATGCTTATAACTCGTTACTATATATATTTTTTTTTTTCTCAAAAGACCAATAAGGTAAGAGAGTATATGATAGTTGTATGTATGGAATTTTGCCCATTGCAAGTTCAGAAAATCTAAACGGCTTTTAGTGGTTTTTGAGTGCAAAGGACCAGCTACTGTGTTTACCTGCCAGTTTGGGCCAAAGTCCATTTTGTAAATTCCTGGGTCTTCCTTTTTGTGAATGACTATTGCAGTGGAGGGAGTTGTTATATCTGGTTTCATCACCAGCGCACATGCAAAACTTGCATTTTGAGAGATTCTAATATTATCCCTTAGAACGATCTCCAACTCCTTTTTGTACAGTGGCATAAGTCAAACCTCAGGGACAAAAGAACATTCATCATTGAGCAGCTTTGCCTTAGGAAACATTTCTAATACTAAGAGATTTGTCTGCATGTAGTCATAAGGAAATGGATCCTTTACGTCAGATTCTGGGGAGCCACGTACAGGGGATATTTTACCTACAGTGACTCCATTTTTTTGGTAGTTTTAACCCAGCATATACAGGGTTGTATTATTATTATTTTAGTTGTGAAATATTTAAAAAACCTTTGTTCGCAAATAATATAATCCTATTTAACATGAGAAAATGTTTTCTTCTAGTTCAGTTTGCAAATTTTGTGCACACGTTGATGACTAAGGAAAGCAGGAATTTTTGAATCTGTCTGTTGTCCTTGTTTTTTTGAAACAAAACTAAATGAATAAACCTCCTTAAAGACAAATAAGATTTTTTTTGGTTTTGTTGTAATATTTTGTATACACAAAATTTACTATGCAAGAGGACCGACCAAGGTGTTCTTGTATTAGCAGTCTTTCAGCCACTTAAGCACTCCAGACACACTAACTTTCTCATCTCAAATAAGTGGTTATGGTGCCTGAAGTCTCCTTGTGCCATTTTAGCTTGAAGTGTTTTCAAATGTTTTAACACTGAAGTAGTGTCCCCAGACACTGGTCTGCTGCCTCTCCAGAATCATTAGCAGGAGCAGTGCAGAGGTGGCAGTGATAGACTGTGAGTGTATGGAAACCATCCCCATCCATAATAGTGTCCCCAGTGAGCTAAATAAAAAGTAGCTGGCCCTAAAAATCCTCCGCATATAAAATATTCTCAATCTGAAAATTAAAGGGACACTACAGGCACCAAAACAACTTTAGCTTAATGAAGCAGCCTTGGTGTATAGATCATGTCCCTACAGTATCACTGTTCAATTCTATGTCATTTAGGAGTTAAATCACTTTGTTTATACAGTTCTAGTCACACCTCTTTGCATGTTACTTGTACAGCCTCCCCAAACACTAACTGAAAAGAGACGTCTAATTTAATTTAATTTAAACTTCTTTTATTGCATTGTCTGTTTAATTTAGAATTTCTAATTTCCACCAGAATTCTCTTTCCCTAAACCGTACAACACCACAATATGGAAAGCTTGTCACAGAGAGCCCTTGCTGTCTGAATAGCGTCCTAATCCGCACCCGAGTTACAGTGTAAGTTTTACCAGGTCGCAGCTATTCTCCAATCCGGTGAGGAGTTCCAAGCATGTGGCGGCTTAGTTCCAGTCTCACAAAAGGTTCCCGGACCTCTAGGGAAGGGAGTACTTTCAAGCCCCAGGTATCCTCTGATGATTCCTTGCCTTCCCGATCTTCCCTCCAAATATTTGGAGGTTGGAGGACCGAGCAGTCCTCACTCAAAAATGTTCTAGGCCTCAGTACAGTCCCGATCCGAGGAACAGTACCAGAGCATTTCAGGTTATCTCCCGGTCAGCCACTTAATGTGCAAAACTTGTCCAGGCGATCCCCAAAGTTCCTCAAGTCCGAGTGGGAAGCACTCTTCTCAGGGCCTGGCCTTCAAGCCTCTCCAAAAGTCAGTGGCACAGGAGTTTCCGTCACAATCAATGTCAAAGGTTTGTATGTAGGGTTACAGTTCTTAAAATTTTTGGAGATCTTTCTGTATGTTGACAGGCTTGTCAAGATCTATGCATGCAATATGGTTTTCCTCGCCACAACCAGCACCATCTGAAAAAGCTACTGTGTTTTTGGGGTGTTGTCAGGTAAGATTCCAAAGATTCTGGGACAGGGACACTGAAAAGTGCAGGGAGGCCTCTAGGTATTTGCGCACCTCCTCCCAAATCGTGGGAAAGTTCTTTGGAATTTTCCCACGCTGTGTAATTTGACTCATTACTCTCTGATTGGTGGATTAAGTAACCAATCAGAGCGTTATGAGTCAAATTACACAGCGTGGGAAAATTCCAAAGAACTTTCCCACGCTGTGTAAAGTGACACAGAGCACTCTGATTGGCTGGATTTCAAACCAACCAATCAGAGTGCTGTGACAGGTAAATGTAGAGACTTACCTGTCAGTCTCTTAATTTATCTGTCAGAGCACTCTGATTGGATGGCTTAAACCCACCAATCAGAGTGCTCTGAGCCTAATTGCAGGGCGGGGCAAGGCTTCCCCCACCCTGCAGAGCTCGGTCTGCGCGGAGCCCTTGCTGGGTGAAGATGGATTTTTATTTTTTTTTTTTTTATTTTTTTTAAGTGCGTCGGTTATTATGGCTTTTTATTTTCCTTTTTTGGGGCTGAAAAAATAAGATTTTAGAAGAAAGAAAACATCAAATTTTTTCAGGTACTTAGTTAAATGGTCCCCCCTCATTATTTTTAGGGTGAGGGGGGGTAGGTAGGGGTTATCTTTTTTGGGGGAGGTGGGTGACTTGGCGTTTGGGGACCCCATGTCACCTGGGGGAGGAGGGGTTATTTTTTTATTTAGGGCCCCACCCACCACTCAGGGGTGGGGGCCAGGGAGGCGGACATTAGATCCCCCCCCCAATTAGTATTTAGGGACCCCACCCACCGCTCAGAGGGGAAGACATTAGGTCTCCCCCCTCATTCTAATTTAGGGCCCCCATCCACTGCTTAGAGGTGGGGGCCAGGGGGAGGACATTAGGTCCCCCCCCAATTAGTATTTAGGGCCCCAACCCACCGCTCAGGGCAATATGTCTCCCCTATTATTTTACTTTAGGGCCCACACCCGCCGTTCAGGGGTGGGGGCCGGGGGGAGGACAATAGGTCCCCCCCATTATTTTACTTTAGGGCCCCCACCTGCCGCTCAGGGGTGGGGACTGGGGGAGCAATATGTCCACCCATTATTTCACTTTAGGGCCCCCATCCTAAATTTGAAAACTGAAATTGGCATGTCTATAATTTGACCCTGTAACTTCTCAAAATCTGACAAAGTTTTTCATCAGGAGCATTGCTCTACTTTTAAGCAGAAGTAGCAGACAAATCTGGGATCTTTACAGAAGTCATTTGTTTTAATCTTTTACTTTGGCCTGGCTTCATATATTAAATCTACATCCCATTTTACAAACAAATGTTATGCTTAATATTTTAAATACAAAACAATATGTAGTGATGAGGATTAATATGGCAATAGGGAGGTTAAAGGGACTCACAAGGCACTAAAACAACTTAATCTAAATTAAGTAGTTATGATGCAAGGAGGCCCCTTGATGGACTCTCGAACAGTTTAACCCCTTAGTTACACTCAGAGGCGTTGTCCACTCCCCCTCTGGCAGCATCTGGCTTCTGAATTTTCCATACTTTTCTCAAGCTAGTTTAGTGAATGAGGAGTCACTGATTGCCTGAGAATGTCAGTTTACCGCTCTCTGTCAATCAACGGCACCCTTGTTTTGGATGCCAAAGCCGTACTTTCACTCTGCTCTTCCCGAATCTAAAAATTCAGAAGTCCAATGCCACCAGGGGTGGAGTGGACATCGCCGCTGGAGGCAAATTTATGGTTAAACTGTTATAACCGGTTCAGGTAAGAGTATCTCCGAGGCCTCCTGGCACCATAACAACTTCATTTAGATGAAGTTGTTTTGGTGCCTGGAGTGTCACTTTAAATGGAAATTTTCTACAAATGTAAATGATGCAAAATGTAAATTTTAGAAAAAAAGATTCATGTAATTCCTGTTAATGTAGTGTTTTGCCTTAAAAATTGCTTACATCTAATAATTGTTAATCTCGCTCTCATTTCCTTTCCAATTTTTTAGTTCAGCACAGAGCCTGCAAAATAGGGATAAAGGATAAAACACTTTGCTGTTAGCATGGACGGGGAGTGCAATGCTAGCCATGAAAGGCTTAGCAATAGCCTACTGTACACAGGTAAGTCTCTTCTTAAGCACTTCAGAACAGAAAATATGCCAGAACTAGAATTAAATTATTTAATTAGCCTAATTTTTACTGATTTAGTATATATGTGCAGGTTAACTATAAATTACACAAGTAAAGCATTGAAATTATGTTAAATCAAAACAGTTGTGTTAAACAATGTATGTATATTTTCTTTTTTTTTTTTTTTTTTTTACACTATGTTACATACCATTTCAGTGTTTTGCATTAGTTATTTACAATGTATTGTAGGGATAATATATCTGATAGTATGCAATTTTTGCATCTTATAACCTAACAATTTGCAATTATTTTTTCAGATCTCCACAATTTCAAGTTTAATCTATAATCCTCTTAATGGTTTGTCTTCTACATTGCTTATTGAAGAGCCCTTAAAAGACTTAATTCTATATATGTTGCATGCTATGTAAAAATGATTTGGAGTGTATGAATAAAGTTCGCTGTCAGAGTAATAGGAACTTTCTGCTAAAGCAATTAACACAATATATACCTCAATTAGATACTTTTGCATACCTTTTATATGTATTGTGGTGTATATGGGATTAACTTCAAACATAGTTTACGATTGGTTATAATGAGCCCCATCTGCACACCTCCCAAATATTCCTACTTAGAAGGGGCAGTCCCTATTTTTGGCTAAATCCCTCTGTCCTTCTTTTCTATCCTAGTATCACTCCTTTTCTAGGAGCTCCATATTGTTGATGTGTCTGAGTGTAGAGCAATGCTCCACAACAATATTATTCACAGTTTCTTTAAACTACACACTCCTAAAGGTGAAGTGTCCAACTTTGCCCATTTGGAATGTTGGGAGATATGCATTTGAATGCCAAAGTATAGACATCTAGCTAGTGAGAACGTGTCATATTGAATTCTATTTCAGGAGACTTACATTTATGGCTCGGTGCCTACTCTGTTTCCTAATATGTCTATGTGGCGGACCACCGTAGTATCACTGCCAAGGATTCCCTTTCCCGTAGTTTTATAGCTCCTTGCAGAGAAAGTAAGTAGTATAGCTGGTATAGCTTTCCCCCCATACATTAGTCGAGACTTAATGCTAGGAGTAGATCTGGTTTTATTAAGCTCAGCACAGTAATTTCTACACGGTCCCCCAGCAAGGGGTCCCTATTCACAGTACAATGATCCCGCCCTGGTGCGTCTGAGTCTGGGAGATAATTGAATTGCTGCTCGCTAAACTAATTATCTCCCAGATACAGAAACACAAAAACAACCCAAAACATCATAAAGGCATATAGGAACCCCACACATTATATATGCCCAGATAGCTCTGATTCAAACGCCCATGTTGGCAAAATTGCGCTCGGGTCCATGAAGAGATGACAAAATGCCACCGGGGTAAAGTTTTGACCAGTCACGCACATGGTCCATGCCCAAAAGAGTTCCAGAACAATTAGGGCTGTGGATGGTCAATTGTCGGAAGCTTCTGTTGATGAGGTAATTAAGGGGTGCTCCCCCTGGCTCCCAGGTAGTGATTGTTCCACACAGTCTGAGGCACCTTCACTCTAAAAAGCACTTTTGTAGCTAGAATGGAAGTAGGGGAAAATCTGGGTGGAAGTTGGACAGGAGTTGGGACTAGCTGCAGCCGGACCGCAGTTCCACATAAGTCCTGCTACAGTCTGTGCGGCTTTCTGGACTCTGTTTACTGTTCAGAGAAGGGCGCTCCAGGGCAGTTGGCTTGGAGGGGCAGGTGCAGGCAACCAAGAGTAATGAAAATCGTCTTTTGGTTGGCAAAACATGGGAAAAGTGCTTTATTTGGAGGTTCGTCATCTGTACTGTTAATTGCCTGCCAGAGCCTGCAACAGCCTTCTCTATGTAATTAATGTTTAAATAACAGAGCACAAGATAGTAACTTCTAGTAAATACACTGTGTTGTCACATGTTCAAAAATTAAACCTTTTTTTAATGAAAACTTTGTGAGTCGCAGTCAGGTGTGGTATGACTAATGCTAATAAGTGAATTAACTCGAAAATCGCAGAACATTGAGCAGTTACTACAAGGACATGTTCAATACGCTAAAACCACGTTAGTAAGCTAAAGTTGTTTTGGTGCTTAGAGTATCCCTTTAAATAGTGAGTAGTGAGTTAGTGGGCTCAGCATAGGCGTGTTCTGCGTGTGCCTGGGCACACCCTAATCCCCGCGGCACGCCTATGGATTGAGACCGACAGGGGAGATCTCAGGATCCCCCCTGTCAGCTCATGCAGAGCCGGCGCTATCATAGGCGTGTTCTGCGTGTGCCTGGGCACACCCTAATCCCCGTGGCACGCCTATGGATTGAGACCGACAGGGGAGCTATCTGAGCGCCGGCTCTGCTCTAAGCCTCCATGGGCCGGTGGGGAGATCAAAGATCTACCTCACTGGCCCACAGCAGCATGGAGGGAGGCAGGAGAGGACCCGGGGAGCTCTTGCCAGCAGCTCCGCCGGGTTCCTCTCGCAAGGTCGGAGCGTTGCCGCGGCAGCGATCAGATCTCGCGAGAGTGAACTCTAGCCCTGCAGGCTAGAGTTAACTCTCATCACTAAGACCACCAGGGATGGCAGAAAGGATCCCCCCTCCCTACATAAGGTAAGAAGGGAGGGGGATATTTACTAAACGACCTCCACTGGATCACCAGAGAAGGCAGCTGCACGGTACTGATATTTTATAAACTAATCTGCCCCCACCTCCATCCCCACAAATCACCCAAACATACAGCACACACACATACAGCACACACACAGCATGCAAACAGAACACACACACATACAGCACACACACAGCACCAGCACACATACAGCACACAAACAGCACCCACACACACAGCACCCATCCACACACATACATACAGCACCCACACACATTCAGCACCCACACACACACACACACAGCACCCTCACACACACACAGCACACTAACAGTACCCTCACAAACACAAACAGCACCCTCACACAGCACACTAACATGACCCTAACAAACACACACACAGCAAACTACCAGTACCCTCACACACAAACAGCACCCTCACACACAGTACATTAACAGCACCCTCACAAGCGCACACACACACAAACACCCTCACCCACATAGCACACTACCAGCACCCTCACACACACATCACACTAACAGCACTCTCACACAGCACACACACACACACAGCAGTGTATGTGTGTGTGTGTATATATGTGTGTATATATATATATATATATATATATATATATATATACATACATACATATATATACGCGACGTGTGCTTGTGCTTTAGGGTGCACACCCTAATGCAACAGGCTGCACACGCCTATGGGGCTCAGTGTAATGCACTATGAGATCAAATCAAATGAGGAAATTTAGCGCCTCATCTGATGTCAAAAATAGATCAGAAAGTTATGTTCCTTACAGCCCAGCACTCCATATGTCTTCCGAATAAAAATCCCCTTATTGGCAACCCATACCAATATTTGGACAGGTATTGTGTTTTTAGCAAGCTCTGGTTGTGACGGATCTCCCAAACTCTGAATGAGTACCTCTGCCAAGTCAGCTTCTTAGCTGCTATCAAGTGTGATTGAGGTCACTGGGACTTCTTCCATCTTGGACCAGGCTGCAGCTCTCTCCTTCCAGGCTGTTATAATCCCCTCTGCCTTTTCTCCTTCAGCTCTGTTACTAGGCAGGTATTCACAAATCTGCCTACACTGTGACCAGCTACTGTCTTTACAAAGGCACTTGTGGGTCTTAGGCCTACTTCTTATGCACATATGGTGACAAACTCCCTTACTGTTTAAACTTACGGTGACAAACTCAATCTAATACAAATAACTAAATCATATGGGGAAACATACAGGAAATCATAATAACACAATGACATATTTCTAAATTGGTAGGGAAGACAATAACTAACACAAAATATCTCATATGCCTGCAGAAATCGTTATATGCAAATTAACCTGAATATGCAAATTAGTGAGCTTTGCTATTCAGGTAGTGCATATAGCTGTTTCAAGATCCTCACAACCAACTGATAGCGCTGTACAGGCTCCACAGCCAAATCCACTTAGTTAGTTAAGATCATCAGCAGGAAACGAGAGCACACAAAGCAATTAACAGTAAACAATTACATTATATACACCATATAATGGGCACAGGCTGACTAAAATATACAAATAAATCAGGGACATACATAAAGTGTCCGTCTTTTGCACCCAGTAATAGTGACTACTGTCACGCTAGCTTTTATATACAGTATGTATTCCTAATATAATCTTACATTTATTAGATTACTATATTACCTTTTTGTATATTTATTTAGCACAATATTACTTTATTAGTACTTAGCATTACTATGGCACCTTTGGTATTGCACATTTAAAGTCTTAGGTACATTGTTGTGTGAATCATCAGGTAAGTCCATTTTGAATCTATTATACTTCATTTTGACCCCAAGTTGCAAACACTATAAAATGTGTATATGTATAAAGGTTGTGAATATTGATTAAGGTGCTGTATGGTATCCACTGCATTTAAACCTTGAGATGCATTGTGAACATTTGTGCTGGTAGAAGTGTATACCTGGGTGCAGTGGTGTATCCTGGTTTTGTGCTGCCCTAGGGTTCAGTGGGGCTGCTGGGCGGGTGGCCGGCCGGCGACTGCAGGCGGCGAGGGAGCACTGATCCTCCTGTTCAGCTCCCTCGCACGCCGCAGAGTGATGCCAGGAGCCGGAATATGACGTCATATTCTGGCTCCTGGCATCACTCTGTGGTGCGCGAGGGAGCTGAGCAGAGAGCTCTCTAACCAGTGCTCCCTCGCCAGCGCCGTCCGCCCGCATTGTCAGTTAGCCTTGTTTGCCTTGCGACTAATATGTCCCTGCCTGGGTGTTGTGTGTCCTCGAAGAGCACAGTGCAAAAGCACAGGCATTATGACCCTGCAGAGTGTGCTTCAAAAGCATGCTCTGCAAGATCCTACTGGCTGTAGTATGGCCAGACATGCCCCTTCTCGTGACTGCACACGCATCCTAAATGCATAGCTCCCAATGTTGGTAGGTATAATGAAGTAACAGGACCAAGGTTTTTGGACAGTGAGGGCGGGTGTAACAAGGATAATTTATATTTCTAAAAGTGGCAATTGCTATTAAAAATCTGCACTTTTTTTAAAATGAAAAAAAGGGGACACACTAGAGCTAAAGTGAGTGTTCCTTTAAGATATTTGTTTGGGGCATGCATGGTCTTGTTTCTCCATTTCCCCTCTTCCAACTTTATGGTGTGCCCCCACAGGTTCATTTTGTTGTGCTGGAGGACACCCATCTATTTTTATTATGTGTCTGCTTCTGGAGCTATTTGAGCAGACTGTCTTCCATCATTAGGGCAGTCTAAATTTGTATGAAGGAATATATTAATTTCTGTTAAGATGAACGCTCCTAGCAAAGTGATCAATTGGGAAGGTGACTTTTTTTTTAAGTTGGAGCTTAAATTAAAGCTCTTGCACCAAAAAAAAAAAAAAAAAGTTAAAAGCAGACTAATAGTCAAATCTTTTATCTTTTCATTCCAGGACAAGGATGGGCCTACTTCCGACAGAAACACGTGATTCTTACACTTGGTTTCCTGGGACTTTCCTATATTCTGATTCTGGCTCTCTTCATAACTGTCTCATCTAGGTGTTAGTATTAGATCATTTATTTTCTGTTTGTATATTTATGATTAATATTGTGTGCATGTAGTGGAATATTTGAGTGGTGAACAGCCCCATGTTGGAATGTTTTTAGCTGCCAACTTAAAAAAGAACTTGTCAACTTTCTCTTACTCTTTACTCTTACTACCATCTCGGTAAACTGTATATGCACAGGGAATCGTGGAAAATGTATTTGTTTTCAATCCTTGGGTCAGCAGAAGCTTGCTTTAAATGGAGATAAAGAAGGATTAAAATGACTTAATAAAATAATGTTTCGTTAACTGTTACATTGTAACATTAATTCCAAAATTAAAGTTTCTTTATAAATCAGCTTTTTCATTTTATTCCCTGCCAACCCCCAGCATTTCTTGAGGTTCCCCTATCCTCCCTAACCCGACCAATGTTTGGTGATGAACTCAGGACCTACGGCTACCTACCATTTTTGTGTCCTGTCTGATCTTTGTATACTGCACCGCCATCTTGGTAAAATCCACTATGGTGGCGTGCTGGAAATCTCTGCTATCCTTAGGAATAAGGTTTAAGTGCATGCACATTCCTGTTCTTTCAGATTGCGTAAGCGTCATCAGTTTGATGAGGCGATGCAACGCTGGAGGGATGTAAGAAATGGTAACCAATGACAAAGCTGGCAAATGATGTGGTGCTTGTTTAAATCTTCACCTTTTGTCAACCTGTAGTTTCTAAGCAAGAAAAAGTAGTCCCTACTTTTCCTTCTGTATAACTTTATAAAACAACATAAATTCAGCAGAAAAAACCCCAAAAAACTAGGCTATCCAGGGGGACACAATGGAGCACTATAAAATGTTTTCTTTTAAAGTAAAGGCTGCTTTAACTACTTTTTTCATCTTTCCCAGTAAATAATATATTGTTTAGTGGAGGCAGGTAGGATAAGAATATCTGATGTCACTCTTTTTCTCTGCTTCTTTACCTTGATAATTTGTTTATACACTTATCAGCCACAACATTAAAACCATTGAAAGGTGAAGTGAGTGACATTGGTTATTGTTAGAATGGCACCTTTTAAGGGGTGGAATATATTTAAGCAGCAAATAAACAGTTAGTTGTTGATCTGGGTGACTTTGACAAGGCCAAACAGTGATGGCTAGATGAGGGGATCAGAGCTTCTCCAAAACGGCAAGTCTTGTGGCGTGTTCCCTGTATGCAGTGGTTAGTACCTACCAAAAGTGATGCAAAGGAAGGATTGTCTAAGCAACCAGCAACAGGGCCATGGTCACTCAATGCTCAGTGATGCAAGTGGGGAATCAAAGGCTAGTCCACCTGGTCCGATTAGACAGAAGAGCTACTGTAGATCAAATTGTTGCAAAACAGAAAGGGGTTGGTAAACAAAGTGCATCGCAGTTTGCTGAGTATGGGGCTGCGTAGCCGCAGACCAGTCAGAGTGCCCGTGAACTCCTGTTCCATGGTCCAGTATGAACTGGACCATGTAACAATGGAATAAGGTTGCCTGGTCTGATGAATTATGTTTTCATTTAGGTCAGATGGTTTACCTGGGGAAGAGATGGCAGTAGGATGCATTATAGGAAGAAGGCAGGCCTGTGGAGGCAGTGTTATGCTCTGGGCAATGCTCTGCTGGGAAACCTTGGGTCCTGGTATCCATGTGGATGTTACTTTGACATGCCACCTACCTAGGAATTTTTGCAGACCATGTATACCCCTTCAGGGCAATATTATTACAAACAATAGGTAGTGGACGGCGCAAACCCCACACAATCTGATATAAAATCTGTGTGTACAAACCACAACACATAAAGTGTATAATATGTTATAGACAACACTTATATAAATGTACTGAGTGGTAATAAAATATACATAAGAACCATACCATAAACAGGTTATAAAGTGCCCCCGAAATAAAAAGAGAAACAGCCTCTCTTTGGCAACCCAATAGTATGCAATAATATAGAAGTAGAATAGTGAAATCTAATAGGTATCACACTCACATTTCCTTGAGCCTGCTAATGATAACTGGCTCAGGTAGTATAGCCTTGGAGTGACACAATACTTCCACTGGATAGGATGAGTTCTTGATCCCCAGTAGTCACATAGAATAGGAGAAAGGCAAACCCAGTTTAAATAATGTAAATAAACTTTATTATAACACACAAAAACCTTACATCAAGGTAACTGGAATGCAATAGTCCAACAGCGCAACACATTTCAACGCTCCTCTTGCATCTTCCTCAGGTGCAAATACTATCCTATCTATCGGTCTTTTAAATCCGGGTTTGGCGCAGATTTCGGCGGATTTAAAAGACCGATAGGACATAGGATGGTCTTTGCACCTGAGGAAAACGTAAGAGGAGCATCGAAACGCGTTGTGCTGTTGGACTGTGGCATTCCAGTTAACTTGATGTAAGGTTTTTATGTGTGTTATACAAAATTTTATTTACATAAATTTTAACTGGGTTTGCTTTTCTCCTATTCTATGTGACTACTGGGGATCAAGATACTCATCCTATCCAGTGGAAGTATTGTGTCACACCAAGGCTATACTACCTGAGTCAGTTATCATTAACAGGTCCAAGGAAATATGCAACTTGGCAGGACTTAAAGCATCTGCTGCTAATGTCTTGATGCCAGATACCACGAGACACATGCAGAGGTTTTGTAAAGTCCATGGCTCACGCATAAGAGCTTTTTTTGGCAGCTCACGGGGAACCTACAAAATTTTAAGCCGGTGGTTTTAATGTTGTGTCTGATAAGTATACCTTAAATGTCTGAGTTATTACTTATTCAGAGTTATCTCTGTCTTTATCATGGGAAGAAACCTAATTACTAGAAGTCAGTTTAACACATTTAAATGAGCAAAGGTTGTTCTAAGTTTGTTAAATCACCTTTTTGGGGGGCGTAGATAGATGGGAGTACTAAACACTGCTCCCCAAGTCCACAGAACCATGAACTTCCCCAGAGGTCTAGCATTCGGTTGGTAAACAGACCTGTGAATTAATCCGTCACATATCACGTAATAGCAAATCACATTTGGGATGCAAGAGTAATGATCCTTTGTGATTTGGGCACAGTCTCAATCACATCCACATTCAAGCCTGATGAAAATAGTATAGTATACAAACAGGTCAATAGATACATTATAGTTGTAGTTCGGTGACACTTTGAGTACTGTGTGTCATTATATATTTAACCATTTACAGATTACAGCTTGTTTTAGGCAATCTACTGACCTTTGACAATGGATTCTGAATTTTTCTTCTCAGTAACATGGTTCTTAGAAACTATAATGAAAATAAATATTTTTCATTCTATTTTTTTTTTTTTTTGTGTGTCAAGCATCTACATCTGGTTCAGAAATCCCAACTGAGCTAAGAGAAATGAAGAATGATGGTAAGACAATATGTATATTTGTTACTGGGACAACTGTTAATATAGACCAGACAATTAAAACACAATTCTAATTTTCATAGAGTCCCTGTTAGTTAGAATAATAGAGCAGCAAGCAAGTGGTTTGGTTAAATACTATTTACACTGATTTTATATATGCCCCTCCCCCTTTGAAGTTCTCATTCGAGATTTAATTGACTGTCACTTTTCTCTGAAAAGGCAGTATTTACATGAAAAGGCCTACAGGAACAGGGAGTAGAAACCAGAACAACTACATTAAGCTGTAGTTTTTCTGGTGACTCTAGTGTCCCTTTAAGTTATATCGTTATATGTGTGTACTAGCCTACTATTTGCATTCAAAAAGAAAAATGCAATGGAGAGTCTTTGTGGAAGCAACAGGCAGAGGAAATTAAAAAGGAATTTGCTAGAATTTCCAGATTGAAAGCAAGAAGCAAATTTATGCCAGATTTGTATGATGCACAATATTACATGACATTAGTTGATTTATATTAAAAGCAACTAGCGCTGTGCATAACATAAAACCAAAAAATAGTTGTGTTCACAATTATAAAGTGATTGGCTAAATGTTTTTTTTCCAGTGGCTAATATTACCCGGAAAATAAAAAAGCTTGAGAAACACCATAAGAGAAATGGTAAGACAGTCTATAATGCAGTAAATTTAACACACATTATACACAGGTCATGTAACACAGCACAGTGTGTATCAAGAAATGTAATACAGCAGTGCCTTGCAAAACATTCATCCAGATGTTCCTCATTTATTAAAGTCTAGATTTAAAATTGATTTTATTTGGTACGTTTACCATTTAATTTAGACAAAATACAAAACATTTTGAAGATGATAAATTATTTTATTGTGACTGTAGCGGAACCCCCGCTGAACTGTGAACTGCCCTGATTACCCTGCAATGTGTGTTACTTTCCTGACCTCCCTTTCGTGTGTTTTCACTATCTTGGCCCTGTGTTTCATTTGTTGTGTTTGTAGTTCTACCTGCTCCACGTTCGAAAGTACTGCCATGGACGGGACTCCATTCGCCTCCCGAACGGGAACCACCTCGAAATCCCATTTTGAATGTAGTTTTAGAATGTTCACATTTCATAATGAGATGTCCAAATCGTTAACAGCAATGGAAGCCACTGCGCGTGCCTCCCCTGGGTGGCAGCCTGTTCGTTAGACGAATGCCATCCAAGGGGAGCATTCGAGGATTGCTTCCCACATCGTTCGGTTTACGAACGAGGACCTTCCCGGCACCCGTTGGAATGTTCACACCAATCAATTAGAACGTTGGCAATTCGCAACATAGTGTGAAACTGCAAGGCAAGTAATTGAGTGCTTCTCTGGGTAGCCGCGTTCGTATAGCTGAACGCCGGCCAGGGGGAGCAATTCATGTCCTGAAGCGAGACACTTCCTGGTTCCACACAGGGACCCACGAACGGTGGCTGTTTGTGGCACTTAGCATTCTGGGGGTCCCTGAGATTGGTGGGGACATCCTTTGGGTACAATAGTGGAGGTTGGCGGGCTCTCTGTCACTGGGAGATAAAGAGACAGGAAGTTTCCCACGCTACAGCCCCCAGATACAGAGTCTTCTGGGAAGAAGACCCCGGACAGGGTAAAGACCCTGGGATGGGACACTAAGTGGCGGGAACAGGGGACAAAAGGACTGGAGTTCCGTTTCCGTCAGGGGGCCCCTGGGAGTGGGAGGGCCCTGTGAGGGGATACTGAGTGGCGGGAACAGGGGACAATGGGACTTGAGTTCTGGTTCCGTTATACGACCCCCGATGGGGGAGGTCCGTGGGAGGAGACAATGTCTTCAGGTGTGTTCCATCCTTTGCACGGGGAAAGTATAAAGCCGGGTGTGGCCAGTAAAGTTGTTGTTGTACCCCTGGAACTGTGTGTCGTCCAGATACTGGGAGGGAAATGGGTCTGTCCATTTATCAATAGCGGAGGTAACCAGCCGGGTTACCCAGGATCCGCTACAGTGACACTAAATGTAATCAAACTAAATAAAATCAGGCATTTATTGGTATAAAGTATTAAATCCCATTGGTTTTAAACACCTAAATAAGCTACAGTTAAAGCCGCACTGGCACTGTCTGGGGACAAATTCGAAAACACCCCCAAAGGTGACATCACCGCTGGGGGACTGGTGGCTGGAATGAAGTAAAGTAAGTAAGGTAAAGGTGAGATTTGCTTATATGAACCTGTCCCTTGTGGGCATGGCCACCTTCCTCTCGCGAGCCCTTTTCACCTCCTGACACTTCAGCATATGCACGAGACTACAGCATTGAGGGCTACAGCACCAATCCCCTGCAGCCATAACTGGTGACAGCTGTTGGGATTGACATTGTAGCTCCGCTCAAAGTCTAAGCAATTCAGGCAGGGGAAATACACAGAGACTACTTTGTCTCTGTAGACCTCTTGAAATTTTAGTGACATTCCAACACCGTCAAAATTTAAATTTCATAAAGATTCTTGAACTGAGTCCTTTGTGTTCAAGGGCAGAATTTGTTTCTTCTTTTTATAAATATACATATATATATTTTAATGACAGACTTTGTGAATAGACTCAGAAGAATTTAGTGTGTGATGTTAATATAACAGTATGATATATACCTTTCTACATATTCAACAAATTGTAATTATATAGTTTATACATGCAGATTCAATGTTCTATAATGACAAATTGTATTAGCATATTTATGTCTGCGTTTACATAAGATGTTTATATTTCCACAGGAGTGGACTGTGACTCTGAATGGATTGTATTCAATGACAGTTGTTATTACTTCACTGTTACTAAATCAAACTGGATGAAGGCTAGAAGTCTTTGTGTAAGAAAGGGGAGTGATCTAGCTGTAATTACAAGTGAAATAGAGCAGGTGAGTTATTTCAGCTATTTCATCTATTTCTGATCACTGTATAAAGTAGAGCTATGATGGATTAGAGAAAACTATTAATATTTACCTTTTTCTGTATATAACTATGACAGTATTGCTACTGTGTTAGCTCCTCTCACTTGGCTAATCAGCCAAGAAATGCTACCAGTTCCATGCCTGGGGCAGCCTTAACACTAGCAATGGGACCAGGCGGAAATTGTATGGAACACACAGATGTTCCTACTCGCTCAATTTAACACCTAGGAGAGCGCTTTTTGGAGGGGAGATAGAGGAGAGACAAGTAAACAATTTCCACCTATGAGTCAGGGGGAGTCCCCTTTTTCCATGAAGAAAAAAGACTCTTTCTTTGACCAGCATTTAGCCGCAACAGCCTGGAACTTCGCACCAGATCGGGATGTGACCTTAGCCCAGTTCCTGTTCATTTAATGATTTCTCCGATGTAGGTGCTTTTTGGACACTTTGCTTGGGGAGAAAGAGATCTACCCGGGGGTGTATGATTTGTATATATAAGTATGTTTAAGTGATGATTTTTGTATGTTTTATTATTTGGGCTCCCTGGTGTCTTATAAAGTTAACGGTACTTAATTAACCCCTTCCCGACCGCGGACTTACTGGGCACGTCCGACAAAAACGGTCCTTAAGGTCCTTAAAGGACCACTCTAGGCACCCAGACCACTTCAGCTTAACCCCTTAAGGACCAAACTTCTGGAATAAAAGGGAATTATGACATGTTACACATGTCATGTGTCCTTAAGGGGTTAATGAAGTGGTCTGGGTGTCAGGTCCTTCTAGGGTTAAGCCATTTTTTTATAAACATAGCAGTTTCAGAGAAACTGTTATGTTTATGAATGGGTTAAGCCTTCCCTCTAATCCTCTAGTGGCTGTCTCATTGACAGCCACTAGAGGCGCTTGCGTGCTTCTCACTGTGATTTTCACAGTGAGAGCACGCCAGCATCCATAGGAAAGCATTATAAATGCTTTCCTATGCGACCGGCTGAATGCGCTCTTGCCGCGGGTGCGCATTCAGCCCAGGAGGAGGAACGGAGGAGGATCGGAGGCAGAGAGCTCCCAGCCCAGCGCTGGAAAAATGTCCCCCTTCCAGAGCCGGGCGGGAGGGGGTCCCTGAGGGTGGGGGCACCCTCAGGGCACTATAGTGCCAGGAAAACGAGTATGTTTTCCTGGCACTATAGTGGTCCTTTAAAATATATATTTAAAACTACTTGTACTTATAGCCACATAACTTGCAAAAAAAAAAAAGCTAGGAACATGTTAACATTGGGTATTTCTATACTCAGGACAAAATTTAAAAACTATTTAGCATGGGTGTTTTTTGGCAGTTGTAGATGCGTAACTGATTTTGGGGGTCAAAGTTTGAAGTAGTGTGTTTTTTACACTTTTTCATCATATTTTACAATTTTTTTTATAGTACATTTTATGATATGGTGAAAATAATTATATCTTTAGAAAGACCATTTAATGGCAAGAAAAAGGGTATATAATATATGTTGGTATAGTAAACGAGTAAGAGGAAAATTACAGCTAAACACAAACAACGCAGAAATGTAAAAACAGCCCTGGTTTCACTAAGGGGTTAACTTATCTCCCAGACCTAGAGGCGCCAGGGCGGTAACCCATTGATTGTGACACCCTGTTGCTATTGTCCCTGTAAATACAACAGTTGGTGACAATAAAAGTTGTTTTTTTACCCATCACTAGTCTTGTCTAGTGTCTGGGGGGGGGGGGAGATACAATTACTGAAGCGCAACTTTCTCCTCAAGATGAAAACAATAGACAGAGGTACTCAGCTTGAGTACTGGGCTCCGTAAGAAATAAGATATATATATATATTAATGAGAAACGACAGAAAGGACATTTCATCTAAAACTTGCAATATTTTGGCATAATGCTTGATGAACGTGAATGGCATAGACAGGTAATGGCTCTGAGGAAACATCCTGCATATTACAGGCTTCATCATCATTGAGCAAATCCTTGATCTTGTTCTTCGTTCGCTAGAACACAAAACATTTCTTACAAATGCTAGAAAACAGTTTGTCAAGAGAGTCAGCAAAACATGGACGGTGAATTAATTCATTTGTAATATTATGGAAGTCTCTATAATTAGTGGCAATAATGTATTTTTTTTCAGCATTTTCCAGAACAGCCACATGGCTAAAATTCCTGATCTGCAGGCACAATCTCAAATAACACACTTTGTGACTTGCCTTTTGAAAAGGCAGACTTTAAAAAAAAAAAAAAGCACTGGATGTTTTAATTAAATAAATTACCCCAGGCAGAGCAAACATTTTTTATTCTCTTGTCAGTCCAGAGCATCATTAGATTAAAAGAAATCTGGATTTCACCCTTACCAAAGACAGAACACTTATAAAGAGAATGGATGTAGAACATCAAGCAAGAAACAGAAACAAATTGTGGAACCATGGGTATGAAAAAAAGCTACAAAGGTTTCTTGGGTACCGGAATACTAACTGGACAGTTTGTTTCAGCCACTACTGGACGAAAAAGAACTGGATCAGTTGATACCTAAACAGAAATTCAGAATGGAGAACACTATGTCAGTAATTCACATCCTTCAAAAGAAGAACTATGTGGTGTCTTTAGATCTAAAAGATGCACATCTTCGATCATTGCCTCTGTTTGAAGAACATTTTTAAGGCTCACCATCAAGGTAAATGGAATAACAAAGCACTATCAATTGAAGTCTGTCAAATTCAGCTTATCAGAGCTCCACAAGTCTTTACAAACATTATGGTGGCTCTAGCAGCAGATCTGTGGGAAAAAGGTATATCAGTAATTGCATATTTTGACACCTGGCTGTTCATAGCAGGATCAGCAGAACAACTAGAGTGGAGATCTAAAATTCACAATTGTCTACAAAAACATGGCTGGATAGTCAATTGGGAAACGTAAAAAAAAAATCCTTCCAGGGTCATGACTTTTCCAAGTCTCATTTCGTATTCCACAAATCTAAAAAAAAATTTACCAAAAGGAAAGTAAAAATAAATAACTGCCTGAGCCACCTCCTGCACCATCATCAAGATCTCATAGAGGAGAAGTGGAGACTGTATCAATGCTTTCCTATAGGCTGCGTTGGTAACATAACTGAGTTGGTCACATAACTGAGTTGCTCTTGTGAAAGCGCCTCAAGTGGCTGTCTGGAGGACAGCCACTAGAGGTGTGTTTAACCCTACAATTGGAACATTGCAGTTTGTAAAAATCTGCAGTATTTTACATCGCAGGGTTACAACTACAGGACCAATGCACCCAGACAACTTCACTGAGATTAAATGGCCTGATTGTCTTTAGTGGTTCTTTAAAACAGTACATTTCAATTTATTTGCCGATTGTAGTGGATGCTGTTTTTTTTCTTACAAAAGACAAAAAAAAAGACAAAGACAAAACATGCGCGACCAAATATGGGTCCCCTCACCTTATGTTAAAAAAAACTTCAAGATAAGGAATGAAACATTAATCCTATGAGCAAGATCTTTGAAAAGCTGAGAAATAACCTTTTTCCATCAGACATTGAAAATTAATTTGAATCACTACCGCTATCAGAAGAATTTCTTGTTTTTTCTTCCACATTCTTGAAATAACCAGTTTCATAGCCAAGAACAACTGAATAATCAAAAATGTGCCATTTTTATTAATGTTATCTAAGTCTAGATGTAAAATGGCCTTTTCTGGCGATATCTTTATTTTCAGCTTTAAAATATCTGAGATTATTTGAAAGAGTTTAGACCAGGTATTATTAACTAGACTACAAGACCACCAGAAATGAACAAATGTTCATTCATTCACTTATTCCACATCTCCAGCATAGAGCGGAATGATTAGAATCTATTTTATGCATTCTAGTGGGGACAAGGTGCCATCTTTGCATTATTTTATAATGTATTCTAGGATATTTAAACAGTGTGTAACTTTCCCAACTTGGATCCAAATTTTCCACCATGCAATAGTATCCTGTATTCCTAGATCTTTAGACCAAGTGGTTTGCAATATCACTTTCTTTTCTTTTTCCATGGTTTTAAAAAAATTGAGCTTTTTTGAAGATGTTTTCATTTGAATGTGTAGCAAAGATGTTCTTTAGTGTTTCCAAAACCTTTGGATTTAATGTAGTTATAAGATGCGCTTTTATGTATTTTTAAAAAAACGAATCAAATTAAAGTAATCCTGACTAGGTATACCAAATTCCATTTTTAATTGTTCATAGGTTTTGAGTTATATTGAGTTTATTGTTGAACCACTTCAACTTAGTCATATCTGGAATGTTGTATCAAATTATTTCTATATGGGTTTGTTTTATTATCTTATCCTTCATACCTTTATTAGTCTTCAGTTTAGACCAAAAGGAAATAATATTTGTAATAACAAAAATCGCCTATGATTTTCTTTACTGTTGCATTATTCAACCATGGGATATTATTATAATTCTTCATATCCAAAATCTTTTGCTCAATCATAAACCTGTCAGGATTACAGAAGAGTCCAGACTTGGAATTCAGATCCAACTTGTTACATTGTTTATCCCTTCTGCATACCATCAGGTTCCTCCAGGAGCTACCACAGTAACCGGTGACTCAGCACTGCATACTTCTCAGTTTGAGTTTCTTCAATAGTACCTCAAAGCCTTCAGTCAAGCTATGGAAAGAGTAAAGAATAACTTTCATTAACCTCATACCCGAAGAGACAAGACAAAAATTGGTTTATTGAGGAAAACACAGGGTGTAATTAGAGCACAATGTTTACATAACAATGAATAGCAGGAGCAGCTAGTTTGAACTGGCCTGGGAGCCCTCTCCTAGAACAATAGGGAAATACCCTGCTGGTAAAATAATTAGGCAGGGATGGGGGAGGGAATGGAACACACATTGGACATTGAACAAGCACATCCCAATTGTAAAGCCCAGCCATAGAAAGTAATATACTGTATATCAACTATTTTACACCTCTACCGACAGCCACAGTATCTTGGGTCAGGGCCACAGAGGCCAGTTCCAGCCACAACATAGGGTCTCCAGGAAGGTGGCTGGCCTCCAAGCTTCATAAACTATAGGGTCTCTGTTTAGTTAATGTGAGGTGACATGGCAGTGCAGAGGAAAGGAATACAAAAGTGGAGGAAGTTTATTCTACAACAAGCAAAGCTGTGCAATCCAGAACAATTACTTATACATGTATTGTAAGTCCCAACATTTCAAACATAGAGGGACACTTCAGTAGTATGAGTGGTGGTATGGCCAAGAGATGAGGCCGTCATGAGAAATTTTAGATGACTTAATAGCAATTTGTGCAACTAAAATGTCATGACGGACTGAATCTAAACATATATTTATAGTAGTTTAAAGACGTATTATTGAGTGTATAGTTGCTAGGGAGCTCTGGTATACAGTCAGACAAACTAAAAATACAAAACTCTTACAAAAGAGGGACATTAATATAGAAAAGAGTGGCAGCGAGATCTGGGCATAAAATATGGGTTGTCTTTCCCAAATAGGGGCACCTGGGATGCATGATTTATTTCTTTGTAAAGATCAATGCAATTTACTAATCTGACTCACAGTGATGCAAGCAAGCCAAACTTGCCAACTCCAGTGTAATTGATTTTGAGGAGTAATAACTCCAAACTGATGGTGAAATGAGATCTGTCTGTGTTAATGGTTGCGAGTTAGCCTAATCTCTTATTGAGACAACGAATCAACCATTGTGAGTTTTTGAATAAGGAAATTGAATTTGGACTTAAAACCATTCTTATCCAGTTTTAGTGATACATCAACTCCCTTGATGCTCATTCAACATTACAGCTGTAAGGAGATGATATTACACAACAACACAGGTTCTGTATTAGTGCTTTTAAATTTAGGTGATATGGCTATCGGTGAACATTGAACTGTTGGAAATTACTCAAGGAATTTAAAATTGTAGGTCAAAATAACCTAGCTGAATAAATAGTTAAGTTGCAGAAAATATGTCTATTTTGGCATAGAATTCTCTGGTCTATTGCAGACTGTTCCTGGATAAATTGATAAGTCAGCATGTCTTCCACTGGGTCAAAGACTGTCTGGTACTACCGTGATCCATTAGAATGTTGGAGCAGACAAACTGGTCTTTCAGGAGGTAGTGTTAAAAAAGTTTGATAAAAGTATGGCGAGGTTCCTCACGTGGACCAAAATCATACTAATAGAAGTGCTACAATCTACTCCAACATCTGCCTCATCCCCGAGGTGAGAATAAATCTTTATTCCTACTCCAAGCCCGCTTGGATGCAATCATACACATTTGATCAATCAGATAAGCTTCCAGCATCCCACTGGAAAGAGTGATTGGGTCCAAATGAAATCTAGATTTGCTGGATATGTTATATTTAAAAAATAAATAAATAAAAATTAATAAATAAAAAAAAAACTCCTCAGAGATCAAGAGATGTAAAACATCTTGTGTTCATAAATGTATTTTTTTTTCATGATGTGTTGTGTGTTGGTAAAGTATATATATATTTCTTTTTCTTTTTTTTAGAAATTTCTGTCTCCCAAAGTAAACAACAACCAGTATTGGATTGGTTTGGGTTATATTGACGAAGGTAAATTGACATGGGTGGATGGAACAGACTACAATGCATCATTTAAGTAAGTTTACATTGTTCAAAAACACTTTGTGTATACCTTAAAAGTATCCCTTCTTTGAAAATATATTGTCTCTTTAAGGCCTAAATACTTCTACCCCTTTCATCTAAGAACTCAAATGCATTTTGTGATGGCCACCTGGTTACTCAGCCAGGCAGCAGGACTCCCCAACCTCCCACCTCCTGTCAAACTACTAAAATCACTATTCCCTAACCCTCCAGCCTGTGCCTCCCAGCCCAGCGTCCCTCTCTCTAGCCGACCCATAATCACCATTTGACCACCAGAGGGCCACTGAGGTATGGTACGCTTGACCGAGAGCTACCTTGAACTAGCCATGTCCGTTTCGGGTGCTTTTTGGACAGAACCGGCGCTCCAGAGACCTTTCCAGGAATGTATGGCATGTATATTGTCTACAATGCATCATTTAAGTAAGTTTACATTGTTCAAAAACACTTTGTGTATACCTTAAAAGTATCCCTTCTTTGAAAATATATTGTCTCTTTAAGGCCTAAATACTTCTACCCCTTTCATCTAAGAACTCAAATGCATTTTGTGATGGCCACCTGGTTACTCAGCCAGGCAGCAGGACTCCCCAACCTCCCACCTCCTGTCAAACTACTAAAATCACTATTCCCTAACCCTCCAGCCTGTGCCTCCCAGCCCAGCGTCCCTCTCTCTAGCCGACCCATAATCACCATTTGACCACCAGAGGGCCACTGAGGTATGGTACGCTTGACCGAGAGCTACCTTGAACTAGCCATGTCCGTTTCGGGTGCTTTTTGGACAGAACCGGCGCTCCAGAGACCTTTCCAGGAATGTATGGCATGTAGGGGTGCTTCCCTGTTTTGTGTGTATTTTTTTTTTTTTAATATGTTTAAGTTTAAGATAAAAAGTTTAACCAAGAGCTGACTCAATTATTTACCAGATACAGAGAAACCTAGGCGGGTTTATGTTGAATACAATGGAGACCCCATGCTGGGGGTCTGTGTATTATTCCAGTGTGCCTTGACCTAATAAACCAGTTCATTTTCACCCTTCACTAAGTCTCGCCTAGTGTTTGGGTGAGAAAGCGGTACATCCTGCAGGAGAGCTTAATCACTCTGGAACTTCTACATTAAGGGAAGGGGCGACCTAGGGGGTAGTAACCTAGCTACTCGTGGATATAGCACCAATAATATTTTAGGGGTTGTAGTGTTGTGCAGCAATAAATACCACAATAATGTGTTTAATAGGACACTACAGACAGTAGTTGACATATCTATTTTTTATTAATATAGTTAAAGCACAGGAGACTGTAATACCCAGGTGACCGGCAGGAAGGGAGCACACAGCACAGTGCTCCTCTCCCACTTGTCACTTCATGTAGCATGGCCAAGTGAACCGCTGTACAGGATTTTCTGTATCCACTACAAGGTCTGACAGGAAGTGCTCAATGAGAGCAACGAACTGTTTCTTGCCACAAACAGCTTCTTGATTAGAGGATATAAAAGATCCTCTAATCTGCAGTGGTGGTGGAAGGGGGGAGGGAGGGGCAGAGATCAGTGGTGTATCTTGGTTTTGTGCTGCCCTAGGCAGGACAAAACTCAGGCGCCCCCCTCTCCCCGCGCCACCCCCACCCAACCCTTCCCCCGCCCCACCTTCTAAATACACACACACACACAGTCAGACACATACACACACACACAGTCAGACACATACACAGACACAAACACACACACATACACAGTCAGACACAAACACACACAGTCAGACACAAACACACACACATACACAGTCAGACACAAACACACATACACAGTCAGACACAAACACACACACACAGTCAGACACAAACACACACATACACAGTCACACACACACACACATACACAGTCAGACACACACACACACACACACTCAAACACACACTCACAAACACAGTCAGACACAAACACACACACACAGTCAGACACAAACACACACACACACAGTCAGACACAAACACACACACACACACACAGTCAGACACAAACACACACAGTCAGACACACACAGACACAAACACACACACACAGTCACACACACATACACAAACACAGTCAGACACACACACACACACAGTCACACACAGTCACACAAACACACACACACAGTCAGACACACACACACACACACACAGTCAGACACATACACAGACACAAACACAGTCAGACACAAACACACACACACACACACAGTCAGACACACACACATTAACTTTTTTTTAATTTAAATCCCCCCCCCAACCTCCTTACCTTTGGGAGTGCTGTGGGGGGGAGGAGGGTCTCTCTCCCTGGTGGTCTGGTGGTCGTGGTCCAGTGGCTGCAGGGCGGGCGGCGCTGGCAGGCGGGCGGCTGGCGAGGGAGCACTTCCTATGAGCTGTCTGCTCAGCTCCCTCGCGTGCCGCAGAGTGGGGCTGGGAGCAGGAATATGACGTCATCTTCCGGCTCCCAGCCTCACTCTGCAGCCGGCGCGCGAGGGAGCTGAGCAGACAGCTCATAGGAAGTGCTCCATCTCCAGTCGCCCGCCTGCCAGCGCCGCCCACTCGGGATGTCAGTTAGTTGCAAGGCTAACTAGGCATTTGCCCTGGGCATTTGGGGGGCGACGTTTTTTGCCGCCCCCTGAAAAATGCCGCCCAAGGCAAATGCCTTGTTTGCCTCGCGGCTAATACACCCCTGGCAGAGATACAAAAAGTAGTCTGGGGGACAGAGACAAGTTGACAAGGAGAGAAACATAGATGGCCACAGAGGGGCTGGGGGGGGGAGGGCAGTGAGAGACAAAATACAGATTAGGGAACAGTGCACACATGCAAAAATATACAGTTTTACAAGGCTACTTACAAGATAAGGCACTAGCTAAGTGTCATGTCTATACTTACAGAGTCTTGCCACCTATGCCACAGTTTTATGACATGTCTCTGATGTGTGATATAACATGCTTCTTTCATGAGTGATATGACATGCCTCTTTCATGTGTGATATTACATGCTTATTTCATGTGTCTTGACTATGTGATATGTTATGCCTCTTTACATTCCTGGTGCCCCACATGGGTGATTTATGCCAGAATAGAGCCTTAGTGCTTATACTTTACTATACAGGTGGTCCTCATTTAGCGACCTACCTGTTTTACGACGGTTTGCACTTACGACCAGGCATAAGTGCGAGCCGTCATGGGGAAACTTCCCCGAACATAGATGAACGCACGAGAGCAGGGAATCCCTCTGATGTACATTTGAGGAATTTTCCCCGAGCATTGATTAAAGGGATTCCCTGCTCTGGTGCGTTCGTCTAGGTTCAGGGAAGTTTCCCTAAACATAGACATGCGCACCAGAGCAGGAAAGCCCTTAACTCCTCACTTACCGATCAATTCGTTCTACGAACGGGTCATAGGAACGGAACCCGGTCGGTAAGTGAGGAGTGTCTGTATTTTAATCATAATAATCATAGTCATTTTTTTTTATTCAACAGTATGACATGTTTCCTGTTACTTTTTTACTGACATAATTATTTTCTTTTCTTTCCTTTATTACAAAAAGTGCACTATTTAGATATTTCTATACCTGCGCATTGCTGATTATACTGTTTAGAAAGGTCTCCGTTTGTATTCCTGTTTGTCATGCTATATACTATCAAAATAAAGAATGTAACAAAAAGAGGTTAACATTTTCAAAAAGTGGCTTAAGAGAAACACAGGTGAATATTAACAATTACAAAACTTTCATCCTCTCTACCTTAACACAACATGGCAATTCATAAAAGCAATAATATATATCTGTCAACATTATTAGAATTTTTTCTGCTTCCAAATGCAGCACACGTAATTGTTTTAGAAAAGTGCTTCACCAGACAAATTAATTAAATACATTTCCAAAAAGGTTGTAATTCAAAGTATGTTTGATAGAATAGTTTATATTAGGGTTGAAAACCAGTGTGAGATTTAGCTAAAAAAATTTGGATTTGGAATTTTGCCTTAGGGAAATTATAGAATGTGCTACAGGTATATGCGTTTTCTTTCCTACACTGTGATTTAAATATTCGTTATACCCCTCCCAGATTCTGGAAGAAGGGACAGCCTGAAGAGACCGAGAAAAAAAATGAAAACTGTGTCCGCTTATCGACCAATGGAGAATGGACTAGTGTACATTGCATCAATACTCAAAATTATGCTATCTGTGAGAAAATAAAACAAATATGAGCTGATACGCAAAAAAAAAAAAAAGACCAAAGCTTTCATTTTTAAATTGATATCTTTACAAATCTTTACAGTTTATTACCTATTATTATTATTATTTATATAGCACCAACTTATTCCGCAGCGTTTTACATTATAAAAGAGGGTGATTGAAAAGGAATTGTTTTACCTATGCAATGCTTAGTGAATATTCCCCTAGACATACAGAGCTATATATATATATATATATATACACTGCATATATTAACCTATGCATGTATTGCATAATGAGACGTTGATTTAATAACATATATTATCCTGTAACCCACAGATATCTGGACAGGCCTTCCTTGATGGCTCTGTTGGTGTGAGATGGCAAGGGAATAGAGGTGAAGATCTAATTAAAGCCCCATGGGTATAACTGGATATACCTTGTCTAACATTCTCACCTGCGGCGCCAGAAAAAGGGGGACTTGTCATAGATAAAGGTAAATAAAGGGTTAAAAAGCCTTTGCCTTAGTTAAGTCCTTCCACATCTGCAGAGGTTAAAAGTAAGAATTTTTACTTCTACAATTTGTTGCAGTTTCACAACGACTCCCTTTTTTTCCCCATGTCAATCTAACCTTGCATAGTTTAAATAAGACATGCTAGACATGCGCAGTAGACTAACTAACAGCAATACGTAATGTAATATGAATGATTATACTTTTTGCACTGAAACTTCTATGATTGGTTGATTTTGCCTTTTGTTGTATACACCTCTAAGAAAAACTGTGTTTTATTTATACGATGTACATGCATTAAAACTTTCGAATACTTTCTGACCTCCATAATGACTGGTGTGCTCATTGAGTGTTCCCTGCAGCAGAATTTACGCAGAGACAAGGAAAGCAGAATGTGTTAGTGCATAAGTCCACGGCAGCGTAAGAGTTCCAGATCCTGTGTTGATATGCAGCCTAACAGAGGGAAATTTAGCAATAAATGAGACAATAACAGTAAATCTGCAATGTACTAAATAATTAACTATTGCATACGCAAGAGTTTCAGCACTGCTGAGTGCATGGGCTGCCCTGCTTGGCCTTCCTGCTGAGCAGCCTCCTATCCCGGTGCGGTGTGTAGCGATGTAACACCCCATTTTTGGATGGATTTGTCGATAGTGACATTAATTGTGTCATTGGCACACCCACCTACCAGCCCTGCCACCTTCCAGTGTCAAAAGGATGTTAAAGAAAAACTGCAAATATCTTAATGTGGGTACATGCTCCAGATGTTCTCTTGTTTTCTGGAATGTACAAATCAATAAAGAAATGCAAAACACAATAATAGTGTTAACCAGGAGCATGAATCCTGCAATATTTTGGTAAATTAACACTATTTCAGTGTTCCAACAATTTTTTTTTGTTTCTCTACCTGTATTACTACATTGCATTGTGTAATTAATATAATAAAATCAAACATGTTCTGCAGCATATAATTAGTTTGTAATGTTAACAGTATAGACAGACTAGACAAGTGTGGGTCTAAACTTGTGAATTGTGTTATTAAACGATTAACTAAAGGGACAGTAAGGGCACCAATACAATTGTAATGCATTTGAAATATTTGTGGGCTCATTAATATGCTGTATTTTTTGCAATGTTCAAATTTGTATAGTTCTTGCACAAAATAAATGTTTTGCAGAATGCTGCATCATATGCTTGCCTCCTTAACCACACCTCCTTATGCCGGTATGACTTTCTTATCTAATGTATGCACACAGTCTAAGTCTGATATCCTTATTAGATTATTATTATTATGATTGTACAGCACTATGATGATTATTATTATTTATACAGCGCCAACAAATTCCACAGCGCTGTACAATGGGTGGACTAACAAACACGTAATTGTAACCAGTTGGATGCACAGGAACATGGGGTTGAGGGCACTGCTCAATGAGTTTACATGCTAGAGGGAGTGGGGTAAAGTGACACAAAATGTAGGGGTAAAAAGTAGGATGCTAGAAAATTATTCACTGAAGACTGAATTTTTTTAATTTTTTTTTAATGACAGTTGCAGGAGAGGAATCAGGGTGTGTGGGGCGGGGTTACTAACAGTTAGTTTTCCAATGATTTTTAATGATGTTTTTGAAGGAGTGGAGACATGGTGAACGTCTAAAGGAGAAGGGAAGGGAGTTCCACACAAAAGCATCAGAAGCCATTAGGAAGGGTTATTTAGGGATTCCAGACAGATATCAGTGTTACAATGTAACTTGCGTTAATTCTGAAAAAAATGGTTTGCAAATAGCAAAGTGCTACTTGTACTTATTGCCCTATAACTTTCCAAAAAAAAGCTAAGAACATGTTAACATTGGGTATTTCTAAAATTTAGAAACTATTTAGCATGGGTGTTTTTTGGCGGTTGTAGATGAATAATAGATTTTGAGGGTCAAAGTTAAAAAAAGTGTGTTTTTTTTGTAAAAAAAATTAAAAATAATGGTATCTTGAGAAAGATCATTTAATGGCGAGAAACACGGTAGATAATATGTGTGGGTACAGTAAATGAGTAAAAGGAAAATTACAGCTAAACACAAACACCACAGAAATGTAAAAAGAGCCTTGGTCCATTATGATAAGAAAATTGAAAAACGGTCTTGTCACTAAGGGGTTGATCAAACTTGCAGGACTATTCACTAGTAAACTGGAAATGACCAGGAACTTTGACAGTTTATGGGGGAAAAAAATGACAGATGTGGTGATTTTATTTCCTGCGTGAAAAAAAATGCACATTATACACCACACAATACTACACACTGTGACTCATACAAAGTATTCCTACTAATACACATTCAAAATGCTACACATAGTCAAACATATTAGATACATTGTAAATATTTTTTTTTTTGTGATTTAAGGAACTTTTCCCCTTTCAAATGTTTTTTTTTTCTCTTATGTCCTGTAACATCACGTAATGTCACTGACATATAATCTATTGTGCAAATTAGCATTCCCTGAATCTTTTTAAAAAGTGTCATCATTAAACATGTGATTCACATCTGGTGATTAAATAAACCTAAGAAATCAGTTTGGACAGAAGTGTACATGTCTCTTTAGTAGAGATTCAAATACCTATTCAAATTGCAACTCTTATTGAAATGTGCGGCTTCTATACAATATCTGGTACTTACAGTCTATATGTATAACTGTGTATATCGTACGGATATCAGTCTAACCCAGGAAGCAACTTCATATGTGGTTTCTGTAGTGTAGTGGTTATCACGTTCGCCTCACACGCGAAAGGTCCCCGGTTCGAAACCGGGCAGAAACACTTTATTTTTTTTTAAGCTTTTTATTTTACCTTTACTAATAAAAAGATTAAGCTAGTCAATGTTTAATGTACTAATGTAATTTTAATGATCCCTGAGTTTTCCGCCCTCCTGAGTCCGGCCTTATCACTAAGGCGCCACCTTTGGAATGCAGGGATGTATATGTGTGCAGTTTTGGCATTGGAATGCAGGGGTGTATTTTTAAGTAGTGTTAGCATTGCAATGCAGGGGTGCATTTGTGTGCAGTGTTGCTGTTGGAATGCTGGGGTGTATAGATTGCCACACATATTCACACACACTTAGAATCACACAGATACACAAACACATACACATGGGTACACATATACAGAGGTAAGCATACAAACAGGCACACTGACAAGCTGACACACAGTAGATATTCACACTTGATTTTTGCTAAACGTTAATGAATGTCAAAACTGAGGTTAAAATAGCTGATTTGGAAAAATCCTCAAACTTAAATATAGTAACAAGTTAGCTTTCTTTCCTTCAATCTTATCATTTAGATATAAATCTGAAGGATCACTGTACAGTTCGCATGTTAAGCAGATGTGTGACTATTATCTACAGCTTCCCTGGTGGTCTAGTGGTTAGGATTCGGCGCTCTCACCGCCGCGGCCCGGGTTCGATTCCCGGTCAGGGAATGTATTTTTTTAAACCCATATTTCTGAATTAAGAACTTTTTGTTACATCTTTAGATTTTAACGTGTCATTTCAATAAATTGATGTTTCCTTAGTTCCATTTCACATGAAGCAAATTATATTTTATACACTGACTATAATATAGACTACTGTTTCAAACAAGGGTAAGACGAAATACTGCAGCTGCCTGTCAGTAAGGGGTTGATAGACACTAAAATATCTCTCACGTTTCTGTTAATTATTAGTTAACATTACCAAAATCAATATTGGTCAAACAATACAATATTACAGCACTAGGAACACTCAGCACTAAAGCAATGCCTGAATGCTAAACAAGAAGCTGTTCAAGCACTCAGCAAATTCATTTTCATTTTCTGTAACTGCAACAGCCAAGGTAACTAAAATACAGAAAAAATAAATTAAAAGAGAAAACGTCCCTGGGTGGGCTTGAACCACCAACCTTTCGGTTAACAGCCGAACGCGCTAACCGATTGCGCCACAGAGACTTGAAAGTACTGAGTTTTCATGACAGCTCTTAGTCCAGAGTCAGCTGATAGTCAACTACTTTCTAAATAAGAGTAGATTAGATTGTCACAAACAGAATATGATAACATCTATCGCTTAATGTTCTATTCCTGTGTTTTGTAAGAGAGTCAAAGGCTAATGTCTCTGAAGGTGTCCTCAGGCTGCTTGGAGAAGGTGGGATACAGGCTGAGCATGGCTGCCTCTAGTTCAGTAAGGTCAATAAAGCATGCAAGCTTATATGCCCTTATAGTCCCTCTTCCAGGATAAAAGCAAGCAGTTCCAAAAAAAGAAATATCATGTAAAAAGCATTGATTTATTAACCCTTTCAGTCCCAGGCCAATAGTAATTGGGGATTTCTGTGGTTCAGAAAGGGTTAATGAGTAGGCACGATTTAATAACAGTAGTTGTAGAATGGAGATGTTATATTTGCAGGTGATGATAAAAGAGACAAACTGCTGGTTATATCCACAAACTTGCAGACCTACCTTATATTGGTTGAAAGGGACATAAAAGAGACTGGCTGAATTTGCAAGAGAAAGGTCTCAGGGCTGATAAGAAGGGACAACTTGTTAATCTTTCAAGACTTTCCAGCCTCATACAGCCTCCCTCTTTTTTTTTTACACAGCTTGCCTAAGTGTTTTTTTTGAGTGACTCTTTAAGTAAAAGAAATTCAATGACAATAAAGCAGGCACATGGATGCAAGCTTGAAGGTAGAAAGAGTTAAATACGCTTACATTTCACAATTAGCAGAGTGGCGCAGCGGAAGCGTGCTGGGCCCATAACCCAGAGGTCGATGGATCGAAACCATCCTCTGCTAGTTTCTTTTTTTCTTTTTTTTTTCTATAAATAATAAGTTTTATTTTTACAACATTAATTCACTCGTTTTTTACTCGAAATATGTATCTATAAACTATCTATATAAAGTAAAATATGAAGTCTGAGTTGTCTGAGCAGTGCATTGGTGATACAGGTGTCTTCATTCACAAAATTGTGGCTTACATCAAGGATGCGATTGCTAGAAATTGTACTTTGGTTGAGAACTGCGTAGCTATGTAGTACTCTTTTGGATACAGAAATACGCAAAATACGTAAGTAAACAGGAAGGGGCTAAAATGTGCATATATTCATTTATGTCTCTGTGTAGGCAGTGTGTGTATACGTGTGTGAACACCAAAGTTAGCATTTATAACTTTGACCAAAAAAATAAATAAATTAATTAAAAAAACAAACTGCTTAGTAGATATACCCCAAATGAAAATATGCATTTTTTTTTTTTAAATTGGGATTATATTTACAAGTGTTTCTTAAAGGACCACTATAGTGCCAGGAAAACATACTCGTTTTCCTGGCACTATAGTGCCCTGAGGGTGCCCCCACCCTCAGGGTCCCCCTCCCGCCCGGCTCTGGAAGGGGGAAAGGTGGTTAAACTTACCTTTTTCCAGCGCTGGGCGGAGAGCTCTCCTCCTCCGATCCTCCCCGCCGGCTGAATGCGCACGCGCGGCAAGCGCTGCGCGCGCATTCAGCCGGTCGCATAGGAAAGCATTTACAATGCTTTCCTATGGACGCTGACGTGCTCTCACTGTGAAAATCACAGTGAGAAGCACGCAAGCGCCTCTAGTGGCTGTCAATGAGACAGCCACTAGAGGAATTGGAGGAAGGCTTAACCCATTAATAAACATAGCAGTTTCTCTGAAACTGCTATGTTTATTAAAAAATGGGTTAACCCTAGAAGGACCAGGCACCCAGACCACTTCATTAAGCTGAAGTGGTCTGGGTGCTTAGAGTGGTCCTTTAACAAGCCCTACAGGGCCTCTAACACATGGTACTGTCATTCGATTCGACCATCACTAGCCTCACATTAATGCATGTTACTCTGTTATTCTAGCATTTGCTGTTGCTTTCAACCATATTGTGCTATACCAATTATGTATGCATGAGTGTTAATCATCCTCCTAAACAAGTATGCCTTATAAACGTATGTATTATATTTTTCCTGGCTAATCCTGGCAGCATACACACATGGGTTAGCTCCTCCCCTTATAGCCGATAGGACAGGAAAACCACCAAGGTTTTAAAAGGAGGCTCCATCCCTAAGGTCCTCAGTCTTTTTCCTGTCCTACAGCCCTTAGGACGTGAGCAATTTGCTCCCTTTACTTACGGACCTGTATGTTTTTTTATCTTCATTACTTTATT